AAACTGGAGTAATGGCTGCTGCCCTGGCACCCAGAAAAAGCCAACCAAATCCTACTCTCGTTTCCAAGTTTTTACATTTTTTTTATATGTTCTTGATTAGTTACATTTTTAAAATTGCATTTACTATGCTCGGTATGTATGATTGTAGGTGTGGAGGTCAGATGATGACTTTGTGGAACCAGTCCTCTGCAACCTTTAGGTGGTTTCCAGGTATCAAAGTCACATCCTTGTCCTGGCTGTCCTGGAACTCACTCTGCAGACCAGGCTGGCCTCGAACTCAAAGAGATCCGCCTACCTCTGCCTCCCAAGTGCTGGGATTAAAGATGTGAGCCACCACCGCCTGGTAAGTTCCCCCAATTCTTTCCAAAAATATTTGTTATTTTTATTTTACGTGTATGAATGTTTTATCTGTATGTATGCATGTGCACCTGTACATTCAGTGCCCTTGGAGGTCAGAAGTTGGCATTGGACCTCCTAGAACTGGATTTAGAAATGGTTGTGAGTGGTCATGTGGGTGCTGGGAACTGAACCTGGGTCCTCTGAAAATGCAGCAAATGGGTCTTAAGTATAGAGCCATGTCTACAGCCCCAAGAATTTTTTTTAGATTTATTTATTTTATTTTATATGTCTGCGTGTTCTGCCAGCATGTGTGTCTGTGCACCACATGCATGTGTGTCTGGTGCTTGCTGAGAAGATCACATTAGATCCCCTGGAACCAGAGTTACAGACTGATTTGAGCCAGCATGTGTGTGCTGGGAATCAAAATTGGGTCCTCTACAAGGTCCACTGAGACATCTTTCCAGCCTGAGAACTAAGTCTTGAAAGTTGTCCTCTGACCTCGACATATGTGCACTGTGGCATGCATGCCTTTATTAAATAAATAAGTGGTAAAAAAAAAAAAAAGACTGGGATTGGAGGGATGGCTCAGAGATAAGAGCACTGGCTGCTCTTCCTGAACTCCTGAGTTCAACTCCCAGCTACCACATGGTGGCTCACAAACATCTATAATGAGATCTGGCGCCCTCTTCTGGCCTGCAAGCATACATGCAGGCAGAACATTGCATACATAGGTTTTTGTTTTGTTTTTTTGGTTTTTCGAGACAGGGTTTCTCTGTGTAGTTTTGGTGCCTGTGCTGGATCTCGCTCTGTAGACCAGGCGGGCCTCGAATTCACAGAAATCCTCCTGGCTCTGCCTCCTGAGTGCTGGGATTAAAGGCATGTGCCACCACCGCCTGGCTAAATAAATAAATCTTAAAGAAAAAAAATTAAAAGAAAAAAAAGATGGAGCTGGAGAGCTGGCTCAGCAGTTGAGAACACTGGCTGCTCTTCCAGAGGATTCCAGCACCCACATGGTAGCTCCTAACTGTCTGTAACTCCAAGATTTGACCCCCTCACACAGACATACATGCAGGCAAAACACCAATGCACACAAAATCAAAATAAATTATTTTAGACATGAGACCATCTAGTGGCATGTTGTTATGTCATTAAGGAAGGGGTGCTGCTGCCACCCTCAGAAGGAATTAAGATAATTCCGTGTGACTCTGAATTGTTATTTCACAAGAGGGAGTTGTTGGGTGTTCACCCAAGTAAAGAGGATCTGGACAGACAGAAAAAAGATTCTGATAAGTCCAGCTTGGTGGAACAAATGAATGTATTAGATAACTTGCCTTCCTTCCTTTCTTTTTTCTTTCTGACCATGTATTTGTTCCTTTTTTTTTTTTTAAGACAGGGTTTGTCTATGTAACAACCCTTCAACCCTTGCTATTCTGGAACTTGTTTTGTAGACCAGGCTGGCCTCGAACTTGCTGAGATCTGCCCGTCTCTGCCTCCCAAGTGCTGGGATTAAAGATTCGAGCCACCATGCCCGGCTTTATTTATTAGTCTTAAAGACTTATTTTTGACTGGACTAAGATTTAGAAGTAGACACTCTCAGCGAGGACAGCCTACATCTGTTTCTGGCATTTTTCTTTGGCTTCTTTCAGACTCTTGGCCAAAAGTTGAGCATATCTACAGACCTTTTCTTTTGTTTTCTTTTTTTAAAAAATATTCATTTAATTTACATTGGTGTGAAGGTGTCAGAGCCCCTGGAACTGGAGTTACAGACAGTCGTGAACTGCTATGCAGATGCTGGGAATTGAACCCAGGTCCTCTGGAAGAGCAGTCAGTGCTCTTAACTCCTGAGCCATCTCCCCAGCCCCTGCTCATTTTCTTAGTGCACTGTTTCCTCACAACAATGTCGAGTAACAAGATGCTGAATCATGGGTGTTTTGGTCCTAGGCTTCTTATCTTCTCTGTTTAAGGGCTTTCTGAAAACATCTGGGGATGTCTTCTTCAGAAAGATTGAAAAGGTTGTGGACTCTGCTAGCTCCTTTGAGCTCCAACCACCACCGAGGCACAGTATCTGTTGGTCCAGAAATATCTTTCTCTCTTTTTAAAAAAAAACAAAAACAAAACAAGAACCAGTTTGAGAACAGTCAGACTGGCATCCCCTATGCACCTGACTTCCTCTTCCGGTTCCCCTTGGTCTGTAACAGCAACACCCTTACTCAACATCAACAATAGGCACACTGTGCTGTGGGTTAAGACATGTAGTTATTTGTTTGTTTGTTTGTTTGTTTGTTTGTTTGTTTTGAGACTGAGTTTCTCTGTGTAGCTTTGGAGCCTGCCCTGGAACTCGCTCTGCAGACCAGGCTGGCCTCAAACTCACAGAGATCCACCTGCCTCTGCCTCTTGAGCTCTGGGATTAAAGGTGTGCGCCACCACTGCCCAGTTAAGACATCTTGTTTCATGGGAAAATCTTGTTTATCATTCTCACCACTAATTCGAATGCAAAACCCGTCCACTCATCACCCAGAGCATCAGCAGCTACTTTTGACCCCATAAGCCTCTCATAGAAAGTACAAAGTTTGCATTTATCACCTGCTTCAATGAATTTCTGACATCTAGTGCCTGGGAAGGAGATATTTACCCTCATCCTAGTCGACAGCCGAGGAGGAACCACGAAAATAAAAAGCTGTATGAAGTAACTTTCAAGAGCACAGGCCACTCACATGCAGTTATACCGCCCCAAACTACCAACTCCCTGCCACTAAGGGTATTTGGACTTGAAGTCCTCAGCAGAATCAATACAAACCTGGGTTCAGAGCGCTGTCTAGTGTTAACGTTGTAGAGGAGCCTACAGGCGCCACTACAGAAGACAGACAAACGCAGTGTGGGAAAGCCGGTTTCTGTGCTCAACCCTTGTTATTTCCAGGACTCCGATGTGACTGGTTTACTGAATCTGTCACCTTTTGTGGCAATGTGGAGTTATTCTAAGGCTGGCTGTGGTGGCAAATTCTAGGTAAAGGCTGGAGGATCAGGAGTTCAAGGACATCTTCAAGTACCTAGCAAGTCTGAGGTCAGAGGACTAGTCCTACTAAAGTTAATGAAACCGTGTCTCAAAAAGCTAACTAAGGAGCTAGAGAGATAGCTCAGTCATTAAGAGTATGGTTTTTTTAAAAGACCCAACTTCGGGGGCTGGTGAGATGGCTCAGCAGTTAAGAGCACTGGCTGTTCTTCCAGAGGACCTGAGTTCAATTCCCAGCAACCACATCTGTAATAAGATCTGGTGCCCTCTTCTGGCCTACAGACAAATGTGCAGGCAGAACACTCTATACATAATAAATAAATAAATCTCTAAAAGAAAAAAGACCCAACTTCAATTTCCAGCACCCACGGGAGACTCAGAGCTGCTTGTAACCCCAGTTCAGGGGATCTGGTGGCCTCTGGCTCATGCAGCACCCTACTCATGTGCACATACTTACACATATACACACACACAGATTAGAAATGATAGAATAAGCCGACAGTGGTGGCGCACGCCTTTAGTCCCAGCACTCGAGAGGCAGGTGGATCTCTGTGAGTTCGAGGCCAGCCTGGGCTACAGAGTGAGTTCCAGGAAAGGCGCAAAGCTACACAGAGAAACCCTGTCTCAAAAAACCAACCAAACAAAAAAAGATAAAATAAATCTTTTTAAAAAACAAAATAAGGCCGAGTGGTGGCGTACGCCTTTAATCCCAGCACTTGGGAGGCAGAGGCAGGCGGATCTTTGTGAGTTTGAAGCCAGCCTGGGCTACAGAGTGAGTTCTAGGACAGCCAGGGCTGTTACACAGAGAAACGCTGTCTCAAAAAGCAAAACAAAACAAAGTTTGTGTCTCTGTGGACATGTGATGTCTTTGCGCCCGTGCAAGGACCTGTTCAGATTCAGAAAGCAGAAACATACCAAGCACCCTGCTCTGGCACTCTCTCCTCTCCCCTTCACACAGGCCTTCCTGCTGAACCTGAAGCTAGGTTGGCAGGCAGGAAGCCCCATGGATCCTCCTGTCTGTAACCCCCACCCTCACCCCCCATTCCCCGATCCTGCCCCACAGTGCTAGGATTCCAGATACGTAAGTGAATTCTGGGGAATGAACTCAGGTCCTCATGCTGTACAGCAAAGTGTTCTTACCTGCTAAACCATTTCCTCAGCCCCATATACTGAAGTCTTAGTCTCAGACAGAGACTTCATTTTGGAAACAGAGTCACTGCAGATGTCATTAGTTAAGATGAGGTCATGAAGGTGAGGAGTTTGTGCCATGTAAACAGGTAGTGTACACCTATAACACCAGCACAGTGGAGGCTGAGGCCGTCTAAAAAGCAAGATCCTGTCTAAAGTTAAGACTGACCTTGAACTCCTTTCCTCCTCCTCTAAATTTTATTTCACATATGTGTGTGCAAAGGTGCCTGCCTGAAGCCTGCAGAGGTCAACAGAAAACATTGGATCCCTAGAACCGGGTTAAAGACCCAATTGCGGGCTCACATGTTCCTGCTGAGAACCCAGAGTCCTCTACAAGAGCAGCCAAAGCTCTTAACTCTGAATGATCTCTGCAGTACGCCCAGATTTTCTGGCCTCTAATTCCCAAGGGCTGGTATTGCATCATACCTGGCTAGCATAAAGACCAGACTGGCCTTGAACTCACCAAGATCCTTCTGTCTCCGTCTTGATGTGTCCAACTGTGCAGTCTTTTTAGTGTCAATGTTTTGTCTGCATGTTTTTGTTTGTGCATCATATCGGCGCTGGGGGGGGGGGGGGGTCAGAGGAGGGCATGGATTCTCTGGAGCTGCAGTTACAGATGGTGAGCCACAGTGTGGGTACTGGTACTTGAACCCAGGTCCTTTGCAAGAGCAACTAGTGCTTTCAACAACCTAGCCAGGTCTCCAGCACCCTTGTAGTATTTTAAAGCACAAGTTTCCCTCACATCTTGCAAACTGGCCATAATATACACGGCAGCAGCGCCACCGTAGCCTGAGAGCCTTTAGACTCAGGACTACAATCTCCCAGTTGGCACTGCGGAACCTCTGGGTTGCGTGACCATAAAATGACCAATAGCTGAGGAGTTCAGGAAGGTAGCGCGTTTTTTCCGCCTACCCACACTGGAGCAGTGAGACTACTTCTCCCATAAGCCACTGCGGGCTTGACTATCTTATCTTTTCCAGACTTGGCGAGGGCGGGGCGTGTAAGGACTCCTCTTTCCCGGCAGGCGCTGCGGCCAGAGGAGGCGCGGGACTTCATTTCCCAGCAGGCATCAGGCGGCGGGCCCCGCGGTGCCTTGTGTGGGATGTAAGCGCGGAGGTGGGCTCGGGGGACCGAGGCCAGGACTCTCCTTGGGACTTGCGGGAGGCTGGTTTGGGTTTGCCTTCTGGACAGGCTCCAGAGGGCCGGGTAGAGGTCATAGGGACCGGGAGGGGTGACCTTTGAGGGTCCCCGGAGAGGTCTCTGGGACGCAGCCTCATCGGAGCTGGGGGGTCCCGGGATTGTAAGGAACAAGAAGGCCCCACAGCCTTGGTTGAAGGGTCTCAGCGACCGAGCCGCCGCCCGTGAGCGCAGGACGAAGCGGCTGGCGAAGCAGAATTGTGGCGGAGGGTAGAGCCTTAGCTGAGCCTGGGAGGGGGCTCTCCCGCCGAGCCCGACCCTCCCTCCCTCGGCTCGCCCGCAGGCCACCGCCCGCCGCCATGGGGCTGAAGGCCGCCCAGAAGACACTGTTCCCTCTGCGCTCTATCGACGACGTGGTGCGCCTGTTCGCTGCGGAGCTGGGCCGAGAGGAGCCTGACCTGGTGCTCCTCTCTTTGGTCTTGGGATTCGTGGAGCATTTCCTGGCTGTCAACCGTGTCATCCCCACCAACGTGCCCGAGCTCACCTTCCAGCCCAGCCCTGCACCCGACCCTCCTGGCGGCCTCACCTACTTCCCGGTGGCCGACCTATCCATCATTGCTGCCCTCTATGCCCGATTCACCGCCCAGATCCGCGGCGCTGTCGACCTCTCCCTCTACCCGCGAGAGGGGGGCGTTTCCAGTCGCGAACTGGTAAAAAAGGTCTCCGATGTCATATGGAACAGCCTCAGCCGCTCCTACTTCAAGGACCGTGCCCACATCCAGTCCCTCTTCAGCTTCATCACAGGTTGGAGTCAGACAGGTGGTCAGGGGAGTAAACGAATGTTGGCTTACCTCTTCTGGTTGTCTGAACAATATGGTTTACAGCCCATCTGAGACCTGTAAACCTTGTATAGTGGGGCAGGTATTATTTCTCCTTTGCAGCTGTGGAGATAGACTCCCGAAGAGGGGAAATGATGTTCCAATGTCCGAATGACAGGGGCTGGAACTGGAACCTGATCGTTTGGTACCAGATCTTACCCTCTACTCCTTCAGCACCCCCAACCCTGCCATTGATGAGCCACAGGAATCTGGTGGCCCAGCATATGGGGAAAGAGGGTGACAACAGATTGGGGAAGTAGGACAAAGGGATGGATACATTTGAAACAATTAAGTGAGATGATGCCTATGAAAATATTTTGAAAGGAAACACAGACTTGAGCTCAAGAAGGCTTAGGACTTGCAAAGTGCTTCAGCTCCTGATGCATGGTATTGAGCAAGAATTGGATGCTCTTTCTGAGCTTAGCAGAAAAAAAGTGTAGAGCTATTAGTCAAGGCGTGGGCCCAGGGTGTGGGTGAGTGGGGGGTTCGTAGAGTCATGGTTTGTTCTCCCTGTTACAGTCTAATCGGCGGACAGGAATACACTGGGTTAAATCATTATGTTAACAGAAGTGCGTAATGTAAAAAGAGAGGGACAGTTTGTGGCTGGGTGGAGCTGAGATCCAGGAAGGTCTCCTGCTGGGGTTGGGTTAATGGGAGAGGTCCTGAGTATAGAAGAGAAGGGGGGTATGATGGGTAGGGGCATATAAGGCTTGGACACAGGCTTGAGAGGTGTTGAGGGGGGCATGGCCCCCTTCTTCCAGGCCAGAGCTCTCACTACTGCCCTCCTCTACAGGCACTAAACTGGACAGCTCGGGCGTGGCCTTTGCAGTGGTGGGAGCCTGCCAGGCCTTGGGTCTCCGAGATGTCCATCTGGCTCTGTCTGAGGATCATGCTTGGGTGGTGTTTGGGCCCAACGGGGAGCAGACGGCTGAGGTCACCTGGCATGGCAAAGGCAACGAAGATCGGAGGGGCCAGACGGTCAACGCTGGTGTGGCTGAGCGGGTACTGTATCCCCCCCAATCTCTCCCTTTCTCCCCTGGCCATGCTCCTCTCATCCCATCAACCGTCTGTGTGTGTGTATGTATCAAGGGGGAAGGCAGGTTCAAGTTGCCATTCCCTAGAGCAGGCTCAGGGTACGACATCCTGAGATGTCTACTTTTGTGCCTTTCCAAGAGCTGGCTGTACCTAAAAGGATCATACATGCGTTGTGACCGCAAGATGGAGGTGGCGTTCATGGTGTGTGCCATCAACCCTTCCATTGATCTTCACACTGACTCCTTGGAGCTGCTGCAGCTGCAGCAGGTGAGCAAACTGTCTCTGCCCAGGCTCCCCTTCCCCTTCTGTAAAATGGACTGGCCTTTCTCAGTGCTCACCTCTGCCCAGGCCCCCCTTCCCCTTCTGTGAAATGGACTGGTCTTTCTCAGTGCTCACCTCTGCCCAGGCCCCCTTCCCCTTCTGTGAAATGGACTGGCCTTTCTCAGTGCTCAAGGGAGAATGGAGTTGAGACATGAAAGGTTTTGCGTTATGAAAGGACTGAGTCTTGAATTCTGGCTCTTCTCTGGTGGAAGGGCCCTGTTGCTTCTGGACACCACTGTACCTGACAGGCGGCTCCCTTCTCCTCACTCACACCTCTTTCCCTTTGGCTCTAGAAGCTGCTTTGGCTGCTGTATGACCTAGGACATCTGGAAAGGTCAGTAGAGGGATATGGTCAGACTAGACCTTGGGGGAGCCAGGGGACTGGGTGACAGCCTCGGTTTATTATCTCTTTCTAGGTACCCCATGGCACTAGGGAACTTGGCGGATCTGGAGGAGCTGGAGCCTACCCCTGGTCGGCCAGACCCACTCACGCTCTATCACAAGGTGAGGGCATCTCAGAAAACAGCAACTCTTTTCTGGGGATTGGGAGGAGGTAGGTGAAAAACGCACCACCTTTAATCCCAGCACTCGGGAGGCAGAGGCAGGCGGATCTCTGTGAGTTCGAGGAAAGGCACAAAGGTACACAGAGAAACCCTGTCTCGAAAAACGAAAAAAAAAGAAAGAAGAACTGTGTGCTGGAGGGTATTTCCTGCCCTACTTTGTATCAGGCACATGTATAATGAGGATAGTTGTGGGTTTTAGAAGTGCCCTCCAGCCTAGGATTGGCGGAGCCTGGATTTGTCCCACAAGCCCTCAGTTTTCAGCCTCCCTCACTGTCCTGGCGAAGCTTGTGGTAGCACTGTGGAGAGGTGTTAGCTTGCGCAGTGTGGTAGGAGGGTGGTTGGGCTTGGAAGTCTTTGTAGAGGAACGTGTGGGGAAGAGACCTGCCCTGAGTCTGAGTGCTGCCCTGCCCCTCTCTAGGCCTTGTTTTATGGGGTCACCACTGCTATTGTCTGTAGGTTCGGGCCTGGGATGGAGGTGGGAGAGAGTGGGGAGCACCAGGAGGGGTCAGAAGGGAATGAAGGCAGGATTGGAGTCGGGAGGACTCTTTGGGGTCCTCCTTTGGTAGCGGATCACTGATGAGGCATTTGTGCTAGCCCAGGGAGCTAGCTGGGGGCCACCTCCTTGAGGTTCCTCTGCTCTACCCTCCAGGGAATTGCCTCAGCCAAGACCTACTACCAGGATGAGCACATCTATCCCTACATGTACCTGGCTGGCTACCACTGTCGTAACCGCAATGTCCGCGAAGCTCTGCAGGCCTGGGCCGACACTGCCACTGTTATCCAAGAGTGAGGATTCCCTTGCCAGGGCCTCCAGCCTGGCCTTCTGTCACTTTCCAATCAGTCATCCAGGAGTGAGACCTTGTCCCAAGTCTTGTCCCCTCTCTGATCAGCCCCATACAGCCAAGGCTACCCTTACCCAGGAAGAGGCTTATGCCTTTGCTTCCCTCCTCTCTCTGCCCAATTTCTTCTGCTCTATAGTCAGTTGTCTTATCTATGGTGCCCCTGTCTCTGCCCAATTTCTAGTCCAGCCCCTACATCCCACTCCTTCATCTTGCCTTGAGCTAACATGGTCACATCATCTGGATGACAGTCAGTGGGATGTCCCATTGTGGGGGCACTGTCCACCTGAATCCTGTGTGTCCTCACAGCTACAACTACTGTCGGGAAGATGAGGAGATCTACAAGGAATTCTTTGAAGTGGCCAACGACGTCATTCCCAATCTGCTGAAGGAAGCAGCCAGCCTGCTAGAAGCAGGCGAGGAGCGGCCAGGGGAGCAAGCCCAGGTGAAGGGCAGGACTCCATTGGTCCACCCTCCTTCCTAGGCATACTGGACTGCATGGACAGGACTGGGGAGTCTCTTTGGCTGGAGCTGATAGCTTGGGTTGAGTTTAAGGGACTTGAGGGTGTTGTAGAACTAAAGCCTTCAGGTTGATGCCATCTCTTTCATGGCCAGGTCCTCACCTGGGCTGGGCTGTAGGTGAGGAAAGGTATACTTCCTCTCCTCACATGCATACCAAGGGTGGGCTTTATAAAAGGAAGGAGGTCCTGGCCTGCATTTGCCTTAACTGAAACCAGGGCTTTGCCCAGATAGAGCCAGGGCTGACCTCTTCTCTATCTTCCCTCTTGTTCAGGGCACCCAGAGCCAAGGTTCTGCCCTCCAGGACCCAGAGTGCTTTGCCCACCTGCTGCGATTCTATGATGGCATCTGCAAATGGGAGGAGGGCAGCCCCACACCAGTGCTGCATGTAGGCTGGGCCACTTTCCTTGTGCAGTCCTTGGGCCGTTTCGAGGGACAGGTGAGGTCCCTGTGCAGGGGGGTGGGAACTGCAGGTGGGGACAGTAGCCGGTAGGGGAGTGAGATCATTGCCTGTGCCTGTCTGTGTGAGTACAGACGAAAGGAGACTCCTAGAGGGGTGGCCAGGGCCGAGCCAGGGTTCTCCTGGTGACCCACCTTTCCCTTGGCCTGCACTCTTGCTCAGGTGCGGCAGAAAGTGCACATAGTTAGCCGCGAAGCAGAGGCAGCAGAGGCTGAAGAACCGTGGGGGGATGAAGCCCGAGAAGGCCGTCGGCGTGGTCCTCGCCGCGAGTCCAAACCTGAGGAGCCACCCCCACCCAAGAAGCCCGCACTGGACAAGGGCCCAGGCTCTGGGCAAAGTACAGGGTCAGGACCACCTCGGAAAACGCCAGGGATTGTCCCAGGTACTGCCCGTGGCCCCGAAGTCAGCAGTACTGCTCAGGCTCCAGCACCGGCAGCATCGCCACCACCGGAGGGCCCAGTGCTCACTTTCCAGAGCGAGAAGATGAAAGGCATGAAGGAGCTACTGGTGGCCACCAAGATTAACTCGAGCGCCATCAAGCTGCAACTCACAGCGCAGTCGCAAGTGCAGATGAAGAAACAGAAAGTGTCCACACCCAGCGACTACACACTCTCTTTCCTTAAGCGGCAGCGAAAGGGCCTCTAAACTGTTGGGGATTCCCTGACCAGGCCCCAGGCCCTGCTCTCAATCTCAGCAGGCTTCACCCTAATTCCCTAATTCAAGCCCAGACTCTACCCACAGTCCAAGGGGGCCCAGAGCTGTCCTGCAGTGACTGGGAACCTTCAGTTAGCTCCTCTAGGCTGTGGCTCGGTTCTTAGAATTTAGGTTTCATCTCCCACCAGCCGGCCAATTGGAACCTCATTGTAGGTCCATGTAACCAATCTTTAAAGGTCCAACCCCCGAAATTCAATGGCCCGCGATGGGAAGGAACCTTAGTCAAGCCTCAGCAGTTTGTCAGTCCTCCCACTTGGGGGCTGAGGTTGACCTTAGCCCAGGAACACTGATGCTACCTGGAAACCCGAGAACCAAGGACTCCATTCAGTCCCTAGGGATAGATTTCCGCACTTTAGAGTTCCATCATTGGGGAATCCAGTCTCCAACCCTAAAGAACTTGTTGCTGCCTGAATTTGGAAATCTTCGCTTCCTCGCCTACCTAACCCTAGAGTCCAGGACACGAAGCTTCGACTCTTGTCTGTGAATACTGAGCCTCGCCCCCTTCCTGACCAAACTGGCCCCAGAACAGAGCAGGACCTCTTCCAACCCTCTGGGAACCTCCCCGAGGTCCCGGGAGGAAATCTGCACGGGGTGGGGGAGGGCCAGCCTCTTCCTGTTTTGTACATAGATTTATTTTTTAGTTCAAGGAAGATAAATACATTTTGTTAAAAAAAAATGTGTCCGTGTTTCATCTGGGAAGTCGAGGATGGGGCAGGGAGTGGACGTCCACTTTACTCTGCCTTTGGATTTTGAACTTCATGCTCCGCACCTGTAGCGCCTCGAGAATCCGGGTGGGGAAGAACCTAAGCTCCGCCCCTAGCTAGGGGACTTCCCCGCGCAGCCAGGGCGCCTCCTCCTGGCCAGGCAGGCGGAGGGGCATCCCCGGCCTGGCCCCGCCCCAGCCTGGCCCCGCCCCTACGGCCTCCGAGCCTGGGCGCTGCCCCCGCCTGCCCTCCCGCCTCGCCCCGCCCCGCCCCGCGCCGCTCCGCGCCGGCTCCGCAGCTTGCGCCGGCCGGCCGGTCCGGCGCCGGGCCATGGCGCTGTTGCGGGATGTGTCGCTGCAGGACCCGCGGGACCGCTTCGAGCTGCTGCAGCGTGTGGGGGCCGGGACCTATGGCGACGTTTACAAGGTGCGCTGTGCGGGGCGGCGGGACGGGCGGGAGTGCAGGAGGAGGGTGCATCCGCACGTCCCGCCGCGGGAGCCCCGGCCCCGCCCCCTCCTCACCCCGCTTCTTGCGCTCCTCAGGCCCGTGACACCGTCACGTCCGAACTGGCCGCGGTGAAGATCGTCAAGCTAGACCCAGGTGTGGGCCCGGGTGGGGCCTCTGCGCTCCAGGGAGGCGGGCGCGGGCGCGTGAGCTGGCGGGGGCGGAGAGTTGACATTTCCGAGACCCCCAGAGAGGCTGTCCCCAGGAGAGGACTAAGCTGGCACCTGCCCGGGCAAGAGAGAAACACTCTGTGCCCAGTTAGCACATAGGGGCAGAGTCTGGACTACCCCTGTGTGGCCCCCCCATAATGCCTTGTGCTCCCCAGGGGACGACATCAGCTCTCTTCAGCAGGAAATCACCATCCTTCGTGAATGCCGCCACCCCAATGTCGTGGCCTACATTGGCAGCTACCTCAGGTGAGGTTGTTTACCCACTTACTCCAGACCGCCCTCGTGTGCCCTGCTCTGTGCCAATCCCAGCTCTTTGTACCCCCAGGAATGACCGCTTGTGGATCTGTATGGAGTTCTGTGGAGGGGGGTCGCTGCAGGAGATTTACCACGGTGAGAACCAGACTCCATGGGACATGGCCTTCCCCCATCCCAACAAAGGGACAGGAGGGCATCCTCCAGGCTGAACTTGGGCTCCTCTCTGCTTCTGACTGGCTGTGTGACCTTGAGAGAATTGCTGTCCTTCTCTGGGCTCAGTATCCCAGCCTAATGTGGCTCACATCACTTTCCTGTAGTGGTGCCTGCTGCTTCCCACTATGCAGGGTGGCTTGGGAGGGTCAACATATCCCTCAGGCTCTCTCTCCAGCCCTCATACTGTCTGTTTCAGCCACTGGGCCCCTGGAAGAACGGCAGATAGCCTATGTTTGCCGGGAGGCACTGAAGGTACTGGGCTCATAGGCAGCACCCACTTTGGAATCTTCAGGAGTGTGGGCCTAACCCAGCTGGCCCTGTGGGGTGTGGGACGTTGGGATGGGCTGTCCCAGGGGCTGTGGGTCCTAAGGGGGAGGGGGCCCCAGTTCTGTTGCCGGAAGCAGCCTGTTTCCCTCTTGGCTCAGTCACTTCCTGTTTGGGGAGAGGGGAGGAGGAAGCGGCTTGGGTGGGGGGCCCCAGTCCTGAGGAGGGGCTCAGGAAAGATGATTAGTGCTAAGTAGCTGTTCTCAAAAGACTCCTCTTTGTCCCCAGGGGCTCCACCACCTGCATTCTCAGGGGAAAATTCACCGAGACATCAAGGTAGGGGTCAGCCAAGGGCATGGTTCAAGTAAGGAGGAAGCTGCCAGGCACCTGACAGGATCCTTTCTGTGTCCCCCTCCAGGGTGCCAACCTTCTGCTCACTCTGCAGGGTGATGTCAAGCTGGGTCAGTACCGGGGCATGCCCTGTGGGTGAGGGTGTAGCAGGGACTCAGAGACCATCGTAGAATTGAGTGCTGTGGATCGTAGTCACCTTGCTGCGTGAGCCTCAGTTTCCCCACTTAGGAGATGTAGCAGTATTACCTGCTTGCAAATGGTTGGCTGAGGTTAGCTTGGGAGGGACCTGACATGAGATCAGGTTTTCAGAAACGGAAGATTGGTGACCCCTCTCAGACCTGGCCTTGCTTGGCACAGTTGTGGCTGGACCCAGGTAGCCTGGGCCCTGGGGTGCGAAGTAAGTGAGGCCCTGGGGCTGGCAAGGGTCTCTTTTTCCCTTCAGCGGACTTTGGGGTGTCAGGTGAGCTGACAGCATCTGTGGCCAAGAGGCGGTCTTTCATTGGCACTCCATACTGGTAAGGCGATGGGTGCCCTGGCAATAGGGGTAGGGTCCACAAGTAGGGTGCCTGGCCATCCCATCTGTGACCAACCCTGACTCTAGGATGGCGCCAGAGGTTGCTGCTGTGGAACGCAAAGGTGGCTACAATGAGCTCTGCGACGTCTGGGCCCTGGGCATCACTGCCATTGAGCTGGGCGAGCTGCAGCCACCGCTGTTCCACTTGCACCCCATGAGGTCAGCCTAGCACATGCCCCTTCCCTGACCCTTGCCCTGCTGACCCTTGACCCATAACCTCACGTCCTCCCCAGGGCCTTGATGCTCATGTCGAAGAGCAGCTTCCAACCACCCAAGCTGAGAGACAAGACACGTTGGTGAGGGCTCACCCAACAGCTGAGATACCCTTTTCCAGCCGAGGCCTGTGGGATGGATGCTCTTGCCAAGGGTTGAGCTTGGTTCCCATCCTAGGCCCCGGACTCAATATGGACAGGAGGGAGGGAAGGGCTGGTGGCTTGTGATGGAAGCATTGCTATTGTGCAACAGCGTCACTGTCCCAGCTGCTCCTTCCTTGGTGGCCGGCCGGGGCCACTGACAGGATGCTTCTGTGCAGAGCTTAACCTGGGTCTTGGGGGGGGGGTGCTTTTTTGCCCATTAGGACCCAGAATTTTCACCACTTCCTCAAGCTGGCCCTCACCAAGAACCCCAAGAAGAGGCCCACAGCTGAGAAACTTCTGCAGGTGGGAGGCAGGGGATGGCTTGGGGACTTGAGGCTCACAGAGAAGACCTGGAAGACAGGGACCAACCTGATCAACCCTTGCTCCTCCAGCACCCATTCACAACCCAGCAGCTCCCTCGGGCCCTCCTTACCCAGCTCCTCGACAAGGCCAGCGACCCCCACCTGGGAAGCCTCTCCCCTGAAGACTGTGAACTGGAGGTAAAGCAAGGACCGGGAAGATGGCTCAACCCCACCTGGTTGGAAGGGGCCTGCAGGTGGTGTAAGTCGGAATCACTGGACTTGTGGAATTCCAGCACAGAGCTTCTCTCTAGTCAAGCCCACCCGCCATGAAACTTTTGAGTGGGTCTTGCCTCACTGCATGCCCTCAGGTCCAAGCCAGCCATGACTATGACTAAGCTATTTTCCTTCCTGTGTGGCCTTTGGCAAGTTTCTTGACGTTTCTGTGCCAGTGTTCCCATCTGTGAAATGAGGGTTATTGTATTTCATAGTAACCTTAGAGGGTTGTCATGAAAACAGAACACCGGATGGATGTCAAGACCTGGAAGAATTCCTGGCGAGGGGTGAGTACTGGGTGCAAGTCTGCTGTGTGTGTTCTTTCTTAGACCCAGGATATGTTTCCAGATACCATCCATTCCCGGGGCCATCATGGTCCGGCTGAGAGGACCCCCTCCGAGATCCAGTGTGAGTCTTCTGACAGGGCCAAATGCACCCATGGATCTGGTGTTATTTTGGGGTCCATCATGAGACTTTGACCCCTCCTAACCCCATACTCTGGATCCCTAGTTCACCAAGTGAAATTTGGTGCCCCCCGCCGGAAGGAGACAGATCCTCTTAATGAACCGGTGAGGCACTGGCTGTGTGGAGGGTGGTGGTGGTGGGGGTGGTGGGGTCAGATGTGCAGATGCAGGAGGAGTGTCCCAAATCAAGGCCAGTCTGAAGCAGGGGTTGCCTGTGTCACCTGGGGTGCTGGGCTGGAGGCTCCTCTTAGGCTGTCTTCCTTTAGTCAGCACTGGAAGTGACCACCCCCTTCTAAAACCTGTCTCACAGGACTGAGGACCCCCACTTGAGCGTATTCCTCACTCTGCCTGTCCCCTCTGCTCTCACTCTCCAATCCCACAATGCTCCTCTCTCGGCCCCGCTTTCTTACTGTCTCCCTCTCCGTCTTGTCTCTTATCTGTCATTTTGTCTGTTACAAGTCTTTTGTCCCTTGCGAAAATAGTCTCCCATCTGTCTGTCTGTCTGGCCCCTCCTGCTATCCTTCTCTTTGTTAATGTTGAGACAGGATCTCTGTCTAGCTTACTCTAGCTGGCCTTGAGCTCTCCCTGTAGTCTAGGCAGGCCTTGAATTTCAGCTCATTCCTGGCTACTCCCTTCCACCTTTTGATTCCCTTCTCTTTTTCTTCACCTCTCCTGATGTCTGTGCCTTGGTTTCCTCCAGTGGGAGGAGGAGTGGACGCTGCTGGGAAAAGAGGAACTGAGTGGGTGAGTGAGCAAGTCTGGGGACGCTGAGGGCAGCTTGGGTCTTGTGGAAGACTGACCATTGACCCTTTTCTCTGGCCCAGGAGCCTGCTACAGTCGGTCCAGGAGGCCCTGGAGGAAAGGTGAGGGGCCGGTACCTGGGGTGCAGAAGGCCTCCAGGCCTGGGGTCAGTCCCATCTCACACCTCATCATGCCATGTGCTGTGTCCCTGTAGGAGCCTGACCATCCGGCCAGCCTTAGAACTCCAGGTATGGATGGCGGAAGAGGGTGGAACTGCGAAGTAAGCCGTGTACACAGGGTGCCTTGGAGTAGAGTGCGTCACAGGGCACCTGCTGATGGCCAGGCTGTTTTCTGATCCTCTTGCCAGGAGCTGGACTCCCCAGATGATGCCGTGGGAACCATCAAACGGGCCCCATTTTTGGGGCTGCCCCTTACTGAGCCAACACCTGATGACAATGCCCAGTCCTGCTCCCCAGGTGAGGCTCAGACTTGGCAGGCCAGGAGGAATTCTGGGGTAGGGCTGGGGCTTGGAGTCACTGTGGTCTGTACATATAGGAACCCTGTCTGCACCTCCACCTGGCCCTGGCAGCCCACCATTGCTGCCCACTGCCTGGGCCACCCTGAAGCAACGGGAGGACCCTGAGGTGAGAGGGCACCAGAGGGGTGGGAGGTGGGCTGTAGGGTATCACCTTGGCCCTGACTCCTTCCCTCCCACACAGAGATCATCCTGTCACGGCCTTCCTCCCACCCCCAAGGTGCACGTAAGTGTTGACTGGGCATCCCTAGGCCCCATTGTCCTGGCCACCCACTGGTCCCTCACCAGCTACTCGCTTCCTCCCCAGATGGGTGCCTGCTTCTCCAAGGTCTTCAATGGCTGCCCCCTGCAGATCCATGCTGCTGTCACTTGGGTTCACCCTGTGACTCGAGGTGGGCCAGGGGTAGAGCAGAAGCAGTAACCTAGGACACCCTTAGTTTTGGGCCAGGGGGGTGTGGCAGCCTCTGACCCCATACCCACGCCTGCAGACCAGTTCCTGGTAGTCGGGGCTGAAGAAGGCATCTACACCCTCAACCTGCATGAGCTGCATGAGGATACACTGGAGAAGGTGAGGCCTCTTGGCCCTGGGGGCGCAGAGGCACAGGGGTCCTGGTGCTGATCACCTGTCCACTGTCTTTGGTGCCAGCTCATCTCCCAGCGCTGCTCCTGGCTCTACTGTGTGAACAACGTGTTACTGTCACTCTCAGGTAGGAGGAGGGTGCAGAGGCAGCCAGAGCACCCCTCCCCAAACTTTCTGTGAGCCCTGTGTGATTTTCCCCTTCTGCCTCAGGGAAATCCACGCACATCTGGGCGCATGACCTTCCAGGGCTTTTTGAGCAGCGGAGACTGCACCACCAGGCACCCCCTCTCTATCCCTACCAACCGTATCACTCAGCGCATCATCCCCAGGTCAGCAAGTGGCGAGTGTGGAGGAGCTCCAGAATAGTACCGGCTGGACGGGGCTCTGCCAGGATCTTAGTAATCACTTAGGCCCTTTCTGTCCCTGAGGCTGTTTCCTCCTGGTCGGTACAGTTGGTGGCCTCACCTGCTGTCCACGGGGCTTGTCGACATGCCCAGAGGGATGTGGATGTGGAAGTGCTTTGTAGATGGTGGGGCTGTGGGCTTCATCCAGCAGTTCCGTGGGCCCTGTGCTGGGCCTGGCACATGAGTCAAGAGAAACCCTGCTTTGGAGAAACAAAGGACTCCCGGAGGGGCGGGAGTAGAGTTGGAGAGAGTGTTCTGGAAGTCAGGAAGCTGAGACAGCTCAGAGTTAGAGGGTACATTCCAGTGCTGGGGGGGCGGGGGGGGGGCCGGCAGTGTATGCAGGTGGGGCCACGGAAGCAAGGCCTGGGCAACTCCGTGGTGGTATTTGGCCTGAGGGCTAAGAGCCGCACAGGTGGCCGAACCCTTCCTCTGTTGCCAAGTCTAGGACTTGGACTCTGTCCAGTGGACAGCAGCGCTGTCAGCATTTCAAAGGATCCTATTGTGTTCTGGTCAGTATGCTTCGTGCTGGAGGTGGTTCAGCTCACTGTCTGAGAGCTGGGCTGGTGTGGCGGCTCATGCCTGACATTCCAGCAATCAGGAGATTGAGGCAGGAAGATCGCAAGTTTGAGGCCAGCCTGGGCTACATAGGGAGACTCTGTCTCAAAAACAAAAACATGATGGTGCATGCCTGTAATCTCAGCACATGGGAGGTAGGGGCAGGAGAATCAGGAATTCATGGTTATCCTCATCTACCTATTGAGTTTGAGGCTAGCCTGAGCTATGCGAGTTCCTGTTTCTGAAAACAGACTATCCGGGCCATATAGAGGGCTACAGTTGGAATGGTATTTGGGCAGCAGAATGGTCCGGTCTGGACACGGGCTGCAGAGGAGCCCATTGCAGAAGACAGGCAGCTCAGCATTGATGTGCAGTGTGAGGTGCAGCAGTTAGCTGGTAACCATGTAGCCAGTGTCGTCCTCATATGTCGTTGGCATTGTGCAGGGCTCCGGGACATCTGTGGACTGAAGGGACCTGTGCCCCTTCTCTTTACGCCATTCTTTTGTGGAGAGGAGGAGGATGGTAGACCTAGAAAAATGAGGCTCTTTGGCAGTGGTGACTCAGAGCACACACCATGGGGAAGAGCAGGACGAAGAAGAAGACTTGGAAGGGCTGTTGTGGATGCCTTCAGTGAGAAAGCGCTATCTGAGCCAAGACTGAGGAAAGGGCTGAGGCTGTGGCTTGCTGGCAAAGTGCTTGCCCAGCATATATGGGCCCTAGGCTTAGTCCCCAGCTCTGTAGGAAGAACCTAGGACTTCGAGGAGTATGGGGCTGGCAAGAGTGCTCAGTGGGTAAAGACACCTGCCACCTGATGATCCGATTTCAAATCCTGGGACCAGTTGATGGAATGAGAAGATCAGCTCTTATAGGCTGTTCTCTGACCTCCACATGCACACCATGGTGTGTGTACACACACACACACACACACACACACACACATGAATGCATGATAAGAAAAAAAATAAATTTATTTATTGCTTTTCTGAGACAAGGTTTCTCTGTGTAGCCCTGGCTGTCCTAAAACTCGCTCTGTAGACCAGGCTGGCCTCAAACTCACAGAGATCGCCTGCCTCTGCCTCCCAAGTGTTGGGATTAAAGGCATGCATTAGCACTGCCAGCCAATAAATTTAATTTTTAAAAGAAGCCAGCCTGGTCTAGAGAGTGAGTTCCAGGGCAGCCAGGGCTACACAGAGAAACCCTGTCTTGGGGGTGGGGTGAGGTGCGGGGGGGAATTAGAGAGTTGTGGGTATGTAGGGAAAGTTGTCCAAGGAGAAGAGGTGTCCAATACAAAGGTCCCAGCGCAGAGCGGGTATGGCTTGCTTGAGGACAGGCGACAGGAGATCACAGAGCGCCTGTCTCCAGGGAGGCATTGGGCTTTGACTCAGCAGGTGGGAGGCTGCTGGTAAGGCATGGTGGGCACTGAGGTCTTCATGGGCTCTCTAGCTTCGGGGTGAGGACTAAGCCACTGATGAGGGAGGATGGTGGAGGCCGGGGGAAGCCTGTTGCAGTGGTCAGGGCTAGCAATGGAGGTGTGGGCTGCAGTCGGAGTACAGAAAGTGAAGATTGATCTGGTTCTGCTTTGCAAGTAGAGCCTGCAGGATTTCCTGGTGATAGGTGGTGTTTGGAAGGGAAAGGGGAGTCAAGGCTGAGTGCCCGGCTTCTGACCCAGGCTGAGGGAAGGATGGAGCTGTCATCAGCTGTGAGTGACGTCAGAGTCTGGGCTGAATTCAGATTGGCCACATTAAATACATTATATGCCTGTCATCTCAACATTCAAGACGTTGAGGCAGGAGGGTTACTGAGGTTTGATGCACAGTGTGAGACCCTGTCTTAAAACTTGCATTTCAGCTGGGCGGAGGTGGTGTACACCTTTAATCCCAGCACTCAGGAGGCAGAGCCAGGCTGATCTCTCTGTGAGTTCTAGGCCAGCCTGGTCTACAGAGTGAGTTCCAGGATAGCCACTAAAACTACACAGAGAAACCCTGTCTTGAAAAAACAAAAACAAAAAATAAAACAAGGGGTTGGGAATTTATCTCAGTGGTAGAGCACTTGCCTAGCAAGCACAAGGCCCTGGGTTCAGTCCTCAGCTCCAGGAAAAAAAAAAGAACAAAAACATTGCATTTCAAAAGATGCACCCATATTCTTTGTGAGTGGGACGTCCCTAGTCCATCTGGGAGAACCAGAATGCCGAGAAGAGTGGGCCAGGTAGGGACCCCAGTATTATTATGACCAAGCCAGGCCGGGGGCAGCAGTATTGGGGAGACCTAGAAGAGACCCTTCTCTACAGAGCTCACACCAAGCCTGGATGTGGTGTCCTGTGGCCTCCGGGCTTCCTGAGCCTCCATTCTTACACCACCTTAGGCAGCAGGTTGGGCAGAGTCCTGGCAAGTCAGGGGCAGCTTTGAGCCTGTGTCTGCTTTGAACATAAAGAAGGGGAGAGATGGAATTCGTTAGAGGAAACACGAGATGCAAACCTACCCAGATGCTGGCTGGTGGGAGAGTGGGAGGAAAAGGAAGGGCAGAGGGCAGTGAAGTGAGGCAGACGCTGCTTCCTCCCAGGGCCTGTCCTGGCAGGCGCACAGACAGGCCCTGAGTCACTGGGAGGAGATTGCCCTGTTAACAGCTTAGTTCCTCAGATGAAGAAACAGTCTCAAGGGCTGTCCCCCGAGGGCATGGGGGACTCCCCATAAGACAGCCACCCACTGGCCCCACAGGGCCCTAAGCCTCAGGTATAGGTGCAGAAGGCAGGCCATTTACTGTTTGAAGTCTACGTTTCCCAGGGCCTGTTTGCCAGTCTTTGAAATGGGTTGAGTATGCTCAAGCTGGGACCTGCCTCAGCTTCTGGTCTCCACACTAGCTGCTTCACCTGGCAGTGAGGAAGCACACACACAGAGATGAAGTGACCTTTTTAAAACCACACAGAGCCCGGCGGCGCATGCCTTTAACCCCAGCACTCGGGAGGCAGAGCCAGCCTGGGCTACAGAGGGAGATACCGGACAGCCAGGACTGTTTCATAGAGAAGCCCTGTCTAAATATAAATAAATAAATAAAGCCACGCAGAACCTAGGGTGGTAATTTTTACCTATAATCCTAACACTTGGGAGACAGGCAAGTGCAAGAGGATTGCCCCAAAGCCTGAGCTAACCTGGGCTACTGAGTAAGACTGTCAAAAACTAAATGAGGGCTGGTGAGATGGCTTGTCAGGTAAAGGTGGTCGCTGCCCAGCCTGATGACCTGTGCTCCATCTCAAGGACGCACACAATGGGAGGGGGAACTGGCTCCTGCAAGTTATCCTCTGCCCTCTGCATATGTGCCATGAAGTCCTGTCCTCCACTGTCGGCCAGCCAACCCATGTAGAGAAACACTTCCTTTTTCACAGTTTACATTTATTATTATTACTATTAATTATTTGCTTTTGTTTGTTTGAGACAGGGTCTCTCTACATAGTCCTGGCTGTCCTGGAACTCACTCTGTAGACCAGGCTAGCCTTGAAGTCACAGAGATCCTCCTGTCTCTACCTCCCAAGGGCTGGGATTAAAGGTGTATGCCACCATGCCCAATTACATTTATTATTTTTGGGGGGTGTGATTCATGTGCCAGAGTATTCAAGTAGAGGTCAGAAGACAACTTACAGGAATAATTTTTCTCAGTCAACCACATGGATCCCAGGAATTGAGTTCATGTTGTAAGTCTTGAAGGCAGATGCCTCTACCTAATGAGCCATCTAGCCAGCCCAAGAAAAGTTGAAAAAGAAGAAAGACAAAAGATGGGTGTGTGTATGTCACAGATCGCACTGAATCTGGTGACTCAGGCTTCTAATCAGTACCTGGAAGGCTGCAGCAAGATGATCAGGAGTTTGAGACTAGCCTGGGCTACATGAACCCTGTCACCGGAAACTTACAAATGACCCGGGACTGGAGAGATGGCTCAGTGGTTAAGAGCACTTACTGCTCTTCTAGGAGACCTGGGTTCAGGTTCCCATCACCCACATATGTGGTAGCTCACAACGACCTGTAACCTCAGTTTCAGGGGTCTGGTGCCTTCTCCCCTTTGCAGGCACTAGACAAATACAGTGTACATACATACATACATGCAAGCAAACATTCATACACACAAAAATCAGCTTAAAAAAAAAACCCCGCCGGGTGGTGGTGGTGCATGCCTTTAATCCCAGCACTCGGGAGGCAGAGCCAGGTGGATCTCTGTGAGTTCGAGGCCAGCCTGGGCTACAGAGTAAGTTCCAGGACAGGCGCAAAGCTACACAGAGAAACCCTGTCTCGAAAAACCAAAAAAAAAAAAACCAAAAAAAAAACCCAAAACAAAAGAACAGACAACCCTTCCTAGAGCCCCAGGCTAGGGAGCCCAAGGTGCTCACAGCGCCTCAGTCCCTTGCAGCTCTTACAGGCACATTGCTGCACCTCATGGAGCCTAGTGTCTCATCTGTAAGGCAGGAAAGGACAGTGACCACCTCCCAGGGCTCAGTGGGGGCCTTCCTGGGTGGCTCCCAGAACATGTGCTGATTTTCACCTCTACAGGCGCTTTGCCCTGTCCACCAAGATCCCTGACACCAAAGGCTGCCTGCAGTGCCGTGTGGGTAAGAGCTGGCCGTGGGGCTGGGAGAGGTTCTGTGAGTCCGAGCCCTTGCCCACCACCTCCTTCTCCTGCAGTCCGCAACCCCTACACAGGCAGCACTTTCCTGCTGGCCGCCCTGCCTGCCAGCCTGCTTCTGCTGCAGTGGTATGAGCCCCTGCAGAAATTCCTGCTGCTGAAGGTAGGAGACCAGAGGGCCCTTGGGTGGCAGGATGCCTGCAGGAGAAACAGAGCCTAGCCTCTCTGCTGTCCCCCAGAACTTCTCCAGCCCTTTGCCCAGCCCGGCAGGGATGCTGGAGCCGCTGGTGCTAGACGGCAAGGAGCTGCCACAGGTGTGTGTGGGCGCAGAGGGGCCCGAGGGACCCGGCTGCCGAGTCCTGTTCCATGTCTTGCCCCTGGAGGCTGGACTGACTCCAGACATACTCATCCCGCCTGGTGAGCAGCTGGGTGTCACAGGGAGGGCAGAGGTGAGGGAGGGCACACTTCAGACCAGGCTCTCTGATGGGGGTTCTGTGAAGGATTTCATTAGACTAGCCTGGGCACAGTGGCACAGGCCTGTGGTCCCTCTTCTGAGGCTGAAGCAGGAGGGCTGCATGAACCCATGAGTTAGATGCCAGCCTGCGTAACATAACAATCCTAAGCTTTAAGAAAAAAGGAAGAAAGAAAAAAAAAAAAGGCATGGTGGTATAAGCAGTTGGCAGGCTGAGTCAGGAAGATCCTGGGTTTGAGGCCAGCCTGGGCTATATAGAGTTCCAGGCAGCCTGACCTACATAGTGTGGTCCAGTGTCACAAGCAAAACAGGTCTAGGCATGGTGGCACATATCTTTAATCCCAGCACTCAGGAGGCAGAGGCAGGTGGATCTGTGAGTTAGAGGCCAGCCTGGTCTACAGAGTGAGTTCCAGGACAGCCAGAGCTACATAATAACAAAACCAAACAAAAAAGACAGACCAAACTAAACCAAAAGTTCTTAGATTAAAAAAAGGCTTGGTAGCCGGGAGGGCGGTGGTGGTGCACACCTTTAATCTCAGCACTCGGGAGGCAGAGCCAGGTGGATCTCTATGAGTTTGAGGCCAGCCTGGTCTACAGAGTGAGATCCAGGACAGGCACCAAAACTACACAGAGAAATGCTGTCTTGAAAAACCAAAAAAAAAAAAAAAAAAAAAAAGGCTTGGTAGCCAAGGAAAAGCTGGCTGCCTGTGTGTAAGCCTGGGCCTCAGCAGCAGGAGAGGAGCTCTGGCCAGGTAGGGACTGGAAGCTTCCATTCTGAGCAGGGAAGGATGCCATCTCATCCACGAGGACAGCTGGGCAGTGGGTAGAGAAGGAAAGGCTCCTGGTGCCGGGGGCTCCCGCAGGATTTCATTCCTAATTTTCCTGTTGCTTTTTTTTAAATAAAGATTTATTTATTTATTATGTAATATATTACGTATACAGTATTCTGTCTGCATGTTTGCCTGCAGGCCAGAAGAGGGCATCAGATCTCATTACAGATGGTTGTGAGCCACCATGTGGTTGCTGGGAATTGAACTCAGGATCTCTGGAAGAGCAGTCAGTGCTCTTAACCTCTGAGCCATCCCTCCAGCCCCTTTCTGCTACTTAAAAAAATATATATATTTTTTTAGATTTATTTTATGAGTTTGGATGCTTTGCCTTCGTGACCACATGTGTGCCTTGGAGGTCAGAAGAGGTGACCTGGAGTTCCAGAGGGTTGTGAGCCATTATGTGTGTGCTGGGAATCAAACCTGCATCCTCAGGAAGAGCAGCCAATGCTCTTAACCACTGAGCCATCTCTGAAGTCCCCGCAGTCTTAATTCTTACAATGACCTTGGAAGTAGGCTTTGTCGTGTCTGAGTTACCAAAGAGAAAAACTAAGTTGAGAGAGAAGCGGCTTGTACCAGGTCACACGTCTAGTGATTCTCATGGCCTGGTTTGTCTGACCGTGGAGGCTCCTTTAGGACTCTGGAACCCCATCCTCACTCCTGAGAAGCCTAAGAGCAAGTCCCTTGTTCTGAGTATGACCCCATAGGGCTTGTGTGAAGTGAAATATAGTTGTTCAGGACTGGCCATACATGTCCCCTCAGTCCTTGGAATGCTAGAGCAGGCTGGTGCTAAAGTAGGCTTTGCCTCGATTCTCTGCCCACAGAGGGGATACCCGGCTCCGCCCAGCAGGTGATCCAGGTGGACAGGGACACGGTCCTGGTCAGCTTCGAACGTGAGTGCCCTAGGGTCAGGGTTGGAGGGTTCTAGCAGGCCCAAGCTTGGCAAACATGGCTCTGGCAGACCCTCCCCTTCCCCCGTTCCCTCTACCTTGCAAAACCGTTAGATTACATTCCTAAAGCTGGTCACCAAGGTCTGTTCCCTTATTTGACCGCTTCCTCCTCCTGAGGCCGACGACCACAGTCCAGCTATCAATGTATTGAAGTCCAGCAATCAGAAGTCCCCTTTTGGCTGCCTGAATTAACATGCCCAATGAAAATTAACCAACTCATCCTGACAAGGGTTCCCCTTTCCCTTTATAAACCGCCATTTGCCTATAGGCCGTGTCTGCCTCCCCTCTATCCAGAGGCAGTCCTTTGTCCCTCTGGGGCAGATATCCCTTCCCCTCCCTTGTTCCCTTCCCCTTGTCCCTCATCTTCTGTCTCTTGTCTTTGTCTCTTATCCCCTGACCTTTGTCTCCTTTATGCTGACAACTTGAGCTTGGGGTGTCTTGTGCCGCCGATTTTGAGGTCCTTCCAGTGGTGAGGAAGGCTTTATGGGTCTGCCATCCACGAAGGGAATCCCCTATCCTCCACCCACCAGCTCTCTCCCTGTGCAGGCTGTGTGAGGATCGTCAACCTGCAGGGTGAGCCCACAGCTGCACTGGCCCCGCAGCTCACCTTTGACTTCCCTATTGAGACTGTGGGTGAGTAAGCCAGATGTGGGTATGGCAGCATCCACGGTCCGGAAGCATGTGTGACTGACTCAGGGCTAGGGTTGGCAGTGGGACCAGGGCAGATTCCCTACTCCTGTTGGGGAGCCATCCTGGTCACCCTGGATCAGTGAGGACCCCTGTCGGTTGCCCTGGGTCAGGCCTTATGGCAAGGATCGGGGGATTTGTGGAGTGTAGGGTCAACAGAGCCCATTCTTCCAGTGTGCCTGCAGGACAGTGTGCTGGCTTTCTGGAGCCATGGCATGCAGGGCCGAAGCCTTGACACCAATGAGGTGAGTGGGACTCAGGGACCTGACTGCCTCCAACTCCGAGGGCCCTGTAAGAAAGGACCTGCTGGGATGGTCTCAGAGTCCTTTGTCTTCCAGGTGACTCAGGAGATCACAGATGAGACCAGGATCTTCCGAGTGCTGGGGGCCCACAGGTGGGTAAAGGTGGTACCTGAAATGCACCTTCTATTGCAGATACCACCCCCCGGGGGGGGGTTCACCTGGCTTTCCTGCTTTGCTCACCTTGTGCCTCTCCCCCCACCAGGGACATCATCCTGGAGAGCATTCCCACTGACAACCCTGGAGCACACAGCAACCTCTACATCCTCACAGGTCACCAGAGTAGCTACTGAGCTGTCGCCCTGGCGGCGCCCAGGCCTCAGTTGTCACCTCCAGCCTCTGCTGGGGCCCCAGAGGGCCGACCTAATTCTGAGACGTGTTGGGGGGCAGGGAGGGGAGGTAGCCCACCCCCCTCAGCAATAACTGGACCCGAGGAAGCTGCGACCACCTACTCTCCCTGCAGTGTTACCCCCCCCCCCCCCCGTGCAGGGGGCCCTGGGCGGGATGGGGCTGCCTGGCTGATCCATTCCATTTTCTCATTTTTCCTTTCTGTTCTTTCTGCCAAGAGCCTGCCCCAGGTTCTATCCTGGGCAACATGTGTTTAAGAGAGAATTATATTGGTATTAAAGCTGGTTGGTTTTATCCCATTAGTCCCTCTGAGGTGGAGGGGTTGAGCCCCCCCCCTTCTGCCCCTTTCTCTTCTCCTCTCGCCCTGTCCTGCAGGACACTTTCCTGTAAGTACTTGGTTGGTCTCAGGCACGCACCATGGCAGGGCAGTCCGCTGGTGCTTGGTGGAGTCTAGACTCAGGTGACACAAGCCAGTGGTCCAACAGCCATCTTGGACCTGTATCTTCCTGGTCCCTGCCCAGAGCAGCCCTCCCTCAGTTTATAGGTTGAAACATCTGCTGTAGTTTGGCATCTTGTGGACGCATGCACAGAATTACAAGCGAAGGGACCTGTCCAGGGCAGCCTTGCCCCAAGTAGGCTCTTGCTTGTGGTCTGTGGGAGGATGCTGGAAGCTAGCCAAGGAGCTAGCCACCATGTCCATGACCATTTCTGGGATCTGCGCCCTGGCCCTGGCCCTGGCCGCAGTGTCCCACTACAGACCTGTAACAGTACAGTGAAGCATCAGCTTAGCCGGGAAGATGGATCTGGGTCTCTTTAGTGTTCGTTCATTCCATGCCAGGCCGGGGGTCACTACCAAGATACAGCTCAACCCCAAGAAACGTGTTGGAGCCCATGTCCCTGGTGGCTCAGCTTGTGCTTCATATTGCCCTCCCTTAGTCCCCTTGCAAAGGGCTCAGAGCCCCCAGGGCCAGGTGCCCCCTCCCCTGTGGCCCCAGATACTGACTGGCTTGCCAGTGACCAAGGCCACTGAAGGGAGGGTGGGGCACACAGAGCCAGGCCTGTGGGCACTAACGTGGGTTGTGGAGCCAAGGTCCAGAGCTCAGTGCTTCTGTTCCAGCTCATTGCCCCCTCCTGACATTTAGAGCAAATGTTGGCAGAAGGTCTTAGGCCTGGTGTGCTGACTGCAAGTACTTGGCAGCTCAGTGAAGCAACGAGTGGGTGAGTGGGTAGACGACAGCTCATGTGACTGGAATCTGTGGCCCTTGTGGTTGTCACTGTCCCGTCTTCAGAGCCTCGATTGCTTGGTTTCTAGTGACCAGCAGGGTTGCTTGGCTGCATAGGGAGCCAGGCCAGGAAGAGGGACGGAGCTTATGTCCCCAGTGAGACTCCAAAATCATCTGAAGGGTCAAGGGAGATAGGGCTACACGGTAGAATCCTAGCTTCCTATCTCCCAGATTTCTTGGGAGCATGCTGGTGGTGGGGGTGAGAGGGGCTGCCACCCAGCCCACACTTAACCCAGGTGCCCTGGGAGAACTGGCCTTCAGAGTAGTGGGCGGCACACAGTGCCACCTTGTGGCAGGTGGCTCAGCCCAGAGTCCATCTGAAAAGGAGGTTTAGGGGTGTAGTATGCCAAAGTGAGAGGCCTGTGAAAGGAAAGGCCCACTGATAGGGTTGGGTGCCACAAGCCAAAGACAGGGCAAGCCAGGAATATGCACTAAAAGATGTAACTTTATTTATATATTTGTTTATAGACAGCCTTTTTCAAATACAAAAGAGAATTCGATGAAGCCGACTGTGGTGAATGCCTGTGATCCCAGTACTCAGGAGGCAGAGGCAGGAGGACTGTCTGAATTGTAGTCCGGCCTGGTCTACATAGTGAATTCCAGGCCAGCCAAGGTTATATGTAGTAAGATCCTGCCTCAAAAATAAATAAAATTTGTCTCTCATTTGTCCTCCAGTCCCTTCTAGAAGTATTTATGATATTTAAACAATTTGGTATATTTTTATTCACATGGCAACAGTCCATATATCCTGCTGGCTCTCTGAAAATACATTCTGGAGATCTTTGCATTATCAGCCTGGCCTATTTTTGTATAGCTTGTGCTGGGTGGTACATGTTTCAGGTGACTGATGTTAACTGAAAGGTCCTTATTGACGGAATGTATTTCTACTTTAATATCACAAACCACACTGCAATAAATAACTCCTGTGTCTGAGCCACTCTGTGTACTCAAGTGTGTTTCTGGGGGATCAGTTCCTGGAATTGGCATCTCTGGGTTGGAGTGGCTGTATTTGCCCCAGCGAGGTACCATACAAATGCCCTCTGTGGGTGTTTCCTGTGGGATGAGGACTCTTCATCATTCTGTGGATAGAGATACATCACCAGTTATGGTGACTCACACCTGTCACCCAGCACTTTAGAGTCGGAGGCAGGAATGCCAGCTAGGGCTACATACCACAACCCTGCATGAAAAAAGAACAGAGAACATGGGCTCACTAGCATGTTCAACAAACAGGCCTGTGCCAGAGGGCACATGGGAAAGCCCTGGTGCAGCGCATCCCTGAGGTGCGGAGGAGCCTCTGGAATGAGCCAGGGAAAGTGATGTGGAGCACAGGGCAGGGTCAGGAAATGCTCTTAAGTTCTTGATACAGCAACACCAAAGGTCTTAAACCAAAGCAGTAAGTCCCATAAAATGGCCAGTGTGTGCTGTCAAGTGTTAGGAAGCTCAGAAACTAGCAAGACAAACTCAGCTTTCCATGCATGTGTGCACACAGAAGGTCACAGGAGGCTGAGCATAGAGGTGCACATCTGTTACCCCAGCACCTGGGATGCTGAGGCAGGAGAGAGCAGTTTAAGGCCAGCTTCAGCTACATAGTAAGAATGGCTTTTTGGGGGGCCAGGGGACAAAAAGTGTGGAGGGAAACGAAAATGGCGGCCTTCAAGCTGGGCCTCAGCAGGATCAGGCACTGCATGGGTTGCCCGACTCACCTGGAATGGAGAGTTGACAGTGGGCACTGTAGATTCTCTGTTTATGGCTTTGTTTTGGTCTACAATGGAGGGGCAAACCCAAGGCCGTATGTTAGGCCCACACTCTGCCACCTGGCTTCATCCGCAGCCCCGGAAACCATGTTTATACTGTAAACAGAAAAATGTCCAGAATGAAGCCGGGCGGTGGTGGCGCACGCCTTTAGTCCCAGCACTGGAGCAGAGGCAGGTGGATCTCTGTGAGTTCGAGGCCAGCCTGGACTACAGAGTGAGTTCCAGGAAAGGTGCAAAGCTACACAGAGAAACCCTGTCTGGGAAAAACAAGAACAGGAAGAAAGAAAACTGTCCAGAATGACCAGTTTATGAAGCTGACTATTTTGAAGCTGATGTAGCTGACTCAGTAGATAAAACCACTGCTATAGGAGGTGGGGGGGGGGGGTCAGCTTGAGGACACACCAGCATGGAGTGCTCAACACAGCATCAGAAATGAGAGAGACCTCAACATGAATGAGAACTGACTCCTGAATATTGTCCTCTGATCTTCAGAGCCAGGCGGATCTCTGAGTTCAAGGCCAGGCCAGCCTGGTCTACAGAGTGAGATCCAGACACAGAAACCCTGTCTCAAAAAAACCCCCAAAAAACCACGAAGATTCAGCGTGCTGTGAGTGGCACTGTCCCCTAGGCAGGGCGTCCTGAAGTGGAAGAGCCAATTTTTTTCTCTGGTTTTGACTACGAATATAACTGCCTCCTCAAGCTCCTGCCTCAATTTCCCTTAACAGATAGACTGTCCCCTGTAATTGTCAGCCAACTAAAGCCCTTTCCCTTAAAGTTCCTTTTGTCAGGGCGTTACTACAGTAACGGAAATAAAACTGGGGTGGTAATTCCAGGTAAGGACTGGGAGAGATGGAGACTGTAGTTCATGCTTCCCTCCTAATCCTCTCCCTGTTTTTACAAAGTTTGTAGCTGGTGTGGTGGTGCACGCCTTTGATCCCAGCACTCCGGAGGCAGAGGCAGGCAGATCTGTGAGTTTGAGGCCAGCCTGGTTTACAGAGTGAGTTCCAGGACAGCTGGGGCCAAAGAGAAACCCTGTCTCCAAAAGCCAAAAAAAAAAAAGTTTATTCTTAGTTTATGAATGAGTGCTTTGCCTGCAAGTTATATATACCATGTGTGTGCCTGGTGCCCTTGGAGGCCAGAGAGGGCACTGGTTCCCTGGAACTGGAGTTAAGGACAGTTGTGAGATACATGAGGTTGCTGGGGAACCTAACCTAGGTCCTCTGCAAGAGCAGCAAGTGCTCTTAACTGAGCCATCTCCCCAGTGCCCCCTTTTCCCAACTATTCTTTTCACTTACTCTCCATAGCATCCTCCCCTCCTCATGTTCACATGCTCTACCAAGTGAGGAAGTCTAGGGCTGGGTGCAGCTTGGGGGCAGAACAATTGCTCAGCATGCAGAGCCTTGGCTTCGATCCCATTGTTGCTAAATAGATCAATGGAAAGCACAGGTGTAGTGTGAATTCTAATTGGTTAATAATAAAAACCCGGAGTCAGATATGGGGGGTAAATGCTGAAAGATCAGAGAAGTAAAGGAGCAGCCACTGGAGAGACTTCTCACCTCTGCTGAATCCTCAGACTACGAAGGGCCAAGCTCCTGTCTCCTCCCATCTTACATTCCTGTCTCCACCTCCCTAATGCTGGGGTTAAAGGCGGGAGCCTCCACTGGCTGGCTGTTTCCCTTTTAGACTGGCTAAATCTCTGTGTAGCTCAGGGTGACCTTGAACTCCTGATCTTCCTGCTTCCTCTTCCCAAGTGCTGGGATTAAAGGTGTGGCCACCACTGCCTGGCCTCTATGGTTAGCTAATGGCTAGCTCCACCCTCTGATCTATAGGCAAGCTTTGTTAGAGCACAAACAAAACATCACCACACACAGGTGCTGTCCCAGGAGATGCAAGATCTATTAGACTTTAAAAAGCTAAAAACAGGGTGTGGTTCAGCCCATGCCTTGGGAAGTAGACAGGAGGATTAGCAGGCCAAGGCCAGCCTCAGCTACATATTAAATCGAGTCTAATCTGATACATGAAACCTTGTTTCAAAATCAACAATGGAGCTGGGTGGTGGTGGCGCACGCCTTTAATCCCAGCACTCGGGAGGCAGAGCCAGGCGGATCTCTGTGAGTTCGAGGCCAGCCTGGGCTACCAAGTGAGTTCCAGGAAAGGCCCAAAGCTACACAGAGAAACCCTGTCTTGAAAAACCAAAAAAAAAAAAAAAAAAAAAAAAAAAAAGATGATTCTTGGAAGGGAAAGATCCCATTCCTGCCTATTGTCCTACCTGAAGCTGGTGTCCCACCAATCCCTTCCCACCTTGAGCCCTCTGAGATGGAAGGTGAGATGAAGTCATCCTGTTTTCCTCATGAAAGGCTTTGAGTAAACTTGTTTTCTCCAGTGGGTGTGTGTGGGTGTGGGGGTGTGTGTGTGTGGGGGTGTGTGTGTGTGGGGGGGGGTAACAGGGTTTCTCTCTGTAACAGCCCTGATTGTTCTAAAACTCTATAGACCTGGCTGGCCTTGAACTCAGAGATCCACCTGCCTCTGCCTCCTGAGTGCTGGGATTAAAGGCGTGCGCCACTAAAGCCTGGCCCCAATTTGTTTCTTTCCTACCAACCTCTGCCTCCTGGGTTTTTGTAGAGTGGTTACCAGTGTTGACCTCAGATTGCAATGCAGGGCCCAAGAGTTTGTAAAGGGCTTGGCTTCAGTATGTGGTTCTCCAGGGTGGTAGGTTCACAGTGTTCAGTGTCTGAGGGAAACTCACATAAGGTGCTCCACAGCTTCATGTATGGATCACATATTCCATATAAAATTTCAGTTTTGAGCTGGGCAGTGGTGGCGCATGCCTTTAATCCCAGCACTTGGGAGGCAGAGGCAGGCGCATCTCTGTGAGTTCGAGGCCAGCCTGGTCTACAGAGCGAGATCCAGGACAGAGAAACCCTGTCTCAAAAAAAAAAAAAAAAAAAAAACCAAACAAACAAACAAAAAAATTCAGTTTCAACCAGGTGTGCAATCACTTAAAAACAAATGTATCTTGAAAAATTTAAAAACCAGAGGTCTGGGAATTGGTTTATTTGTAGAGAATTTACTTAGCAAGCAAGAAGGCCTGGGTTCCATCCCTGGCAGTGGTAGTGAATGTCAATAATTCCAGTACCCTGGAGGTGTCGAGAGGGGGATACAGATCCAAAATTTAAAGTAATTTGAAGCCAGCCTGGACTACAAGTGACTCTGTCTGGGGGTAAAAAAAGAAGCTGGGTGTAATACTATATAACATATGCCTTTAATCCTAGTACTCAGGAGGCAGAGGCAGGCAGATCTCTGAGTTTGAGACCAGCCTGGTCTACAGAGTGAGTTCCAGGACAGCCAGGACTACACCAGGAGAAACCCTGTCTCGAAAAAAGCAAAACACAAAACCTAAAATCCCAGCACTTGGGAGGTGAAGGTAGGTGGATCTCTGTGAGTTCCTGGTCACAGCCTGGTCTATGCAGCAAGTTCTAGGCTTACCAGAACTACATAGGGAGACTCTGTCTCAAACAAACCAAAACACTAAGGGGATTCTACCAAATCAACAGGAGTCACTGGTATGAACTGGAGGCAGAATCTTCTCTCACTGGTTCTTCTTTTCCTTTTGGCAAGATTTCACGTAGCCAGGCTGGCTCTGACATTGATACCTTTGCCTCCTCCTCCTGAGTGTGTGATTACAGGCATGTGCTGCCAGCCCTGCTCACTGTGGTTATTTTGTGGTAGTATGGCTAGGACCCGGGGCCTTGTACATGCTAGGCAAGTGCTTTATCACAGAGCTGTCCTACTCCAGTTCTAGGGGATCTGATCTGGAGGATTTCTGCTTCTGCTGCCAACAGGCTTGCACATGGTACAAACACGAACTCAGAACACTCTCTCTCTCTCTCTCTCTCTCTCTCTCACACACACACAAAATTTTTGGTTTTCAGGACAAGGTTTCTCTGTGTAACAGCCCTGGCTGTCCTGGAACTTGCTTTCAATCCCAGCAGAAAGAGGTAGATCTCTGTGAGTTTGAGGTCAGTGTGGTCTACAGAGTGAGTTCCAGGACAGCCAGGGGTACACAGAGAAACCCTGTCTCAAAAAAAAAAAAAAAAAAAAAAGCTCTTTCAAGTCTTCTATCCTCCACTAATTTACAACAAGCATGCTGGAGCAGGTTACTTCGCACTGTTTTATTTGTGAGGGTGCGGGTGTCATGTTCACTCTTCAGTGGAGTTCATGCATTTCTCACTCTTCTTCATCATTAGTCCATCCAGCTCGGAAGGGACAATCACTGTCATCTTGATCAGCCGACTACCTTCATGGATTTGTTGACAAGCCCCAGGTTTTCTGCACTGCTTTGTGGATTTCAGTTACCTTTTTGGGAGAGGAGAGTTCACTGGCAGCCTTCACCTTCTCCAGAGTACCTCACTCATCCCACAGCATAGTAGGTCTGGCGTGCAGCACTCGCCCTTGATGGGTAGGAAGCCACAGTGGTGTGCAGACTGCAGGCCATGGCCCCCAAGCTCCTTGCCATGATCAGGGTTCAAGGGTCACCACGCTGTGCCTCCATCACCACTTTTCTATTGTTGTGAAGAGACACCATGACCAAGGCCAATTACAGAAGAAAGAGCTGGTGAGTGTATAACCGTCATGGCGGGGAGCATGGCGGCAGGCAGCGGGCGGCAGGCATGGTGTTGTAGTAGCAGCTGAAAACTTACACTGTACCAGCAAATACAAGGCAGAGAGAGAGAGAGAGAGAGAGAGAGAGAGAGAGAGAGAGAGAGAGAGAGAGAGAGAGAAACGGTGTGTGTGTGTGGGGGGGGGTAATTCTCAGTCAAACCACCACAGCTTGCCATGGCCGGCTCCATAATAATTATTTTCAGTACTTGGGATCAAACCCAGGTCCTTGGTCATATTAGGCCAGCATTCTGCTACCGAACTACAGCCTCAGTTCCTCCATTTAGTTTTAATTTTTAAATTTTTTGAGATCGTTTTTATGTGTATGGGTGTTTTGCCTGTGTGTATGTTTGTGTACCACCTGCGAGCAGTGCCTGAGGTGTCCAGAAAAGGGAGTCCTGGTCCCCTGGAACAGGAGTAGCTGTTAGCTTCTGTGTGCTTGAACTGAACCTGGGTCCCCTGGAAGAGCAGTCAGTGCTCTCGCCTGCTGAGCCAGCTCTCCAGCCTCCCTCCACTTAGTACTGAAGGCTTCTCTAGGTGTTACAGACATGTGGCTTTTCTTCTGTTTTTGCAGTTCTGGAGGAGGAATCAAGGAAGTTGCATGTGCTAGGCAAAAGCTCTACCACTGATTTGTATTCTCAGCCCAGACATGTGCTCCTTCTCTGTTGCATGGCAATTCTCCCCTAATCTGTCATGATCTGTTGACTTGTACCATCCATCATTCATGAGTTTGTAGTCTCTCAATTCCTAGATTACCCCAAATCTAAATTGTCTTCTACATGTTTTAGGATTCTTTTCTACATCATTTTTTTAAGTTGTATTTGTCTTAGGTATATGGGTGTTTTGTCTGCATGTAAGTCTGTGCATCACATGCATAATGTAGATGTAACCAACTGTCTTATTAAATAAGAAATACGGAACCAATGCAAAGAAGAAAGCCAAGAGGTCAGAGCTAAGAGCTAAAACCTTACCCTTCCTCCTGCAGTGGTCCTACCTCTCCGAAAGAGAGCTACTTCCTGTGTTAAAGTCTTTATAAAGACTTTCGGTTCTGCCTTTTCATTGGTTGTAAACCCAACCACATGACCGCCTCGTCACTGCCTCTCTGTATAGACCTCCAGATCTTCTATGGTTGGTATTGAGATTAAAGGCATGTGTATCCAATGCTGGCTGTATCCCTGAACACACAGAAATCTACCTAGCTCTGCCTACCAAGTGCTGGGATTAAAGGCGTGCACCACCACCGCCCGGCTTTCCTATGGCTTGCTAATAGCTCTGACCCCCAGGGCAACTTTATTTATTAACATACAAATAACATTTTAGTACAAAATAAAATATCACCATAGCCAGAAGGTGGCTTTGGATTCCCTGGGACTGAAGTTACAGATGGTTGTGAGCCACCATGTGGTGCTGGCACCTGAATGGAGGAGCAGCCAGTGGTCATATCTGCTGAGCCACCTCTCCAGCCCTTCTACATCATTTATTAAACATCTTTCTCTCTATTGGGTTGGAATACTCAGCTTTGTGAGAATCCTATGCCCAGTTCTAGTCTGTTGTGTGAAACTGTTTTTCTGGCAAGAAAATTGTTTCATTGCTCTTATGTTTACTTTACAGGAAGGCATGTCTAGCCTCCGTTTCATTTACAAGCTCCCTACTATTTTCATGGTTATATACTTTTTTTTTTTCCCAAGACAGTTTCTCCGTTAACTCACTCTGTAGATCACGAACTCACTCTGTAGGCCTCGAACTCACGGACAACCGCCTGCCTCCCAAGCACTGGGATGAAAGGCGTGTGCCATCACCGCCCGGCTGGTTATATACTTTTAAGGTAACGTAAATCAAATTCTCAACACACTGAGATTTCGATGGAAGTGCACACTTGGAAACTTGAATTGACTGTTGTTTTTTCCCCCTCTCCTAAGAATGACCGTGAACTCCTGATTTTCCTTTTCGAGAGCCGGGTTTTCCTTTTGAGACAGATATACTGTACCCGAGCCTAGCACCAAACTCATGGTAGCTCTCCTGCCTCAGGCTCTCAAATAGGTGCCAGGCCACTACTTTGGCTACCTTTGTTGTCTTTCGTCTGAGGTTATACGCTGTTCCATCACTTCAGATACTACTTTCTTACTGACATCCGCCTGCCTCTGCCTCCCGAGCGCTGGGATTCAAGGCGTGCGTCACAATGCCGGCATAAAATAAAACCTTAAAACACAAGCAAAAAACTACCCTCCTTAGAGCAATTCCGTAACGCTTTATTTATTTTAAAGAAAACAGGAAGTCCTCCTCTACCTGCGCCGTCGACGAATCCGGTTCGTTCACTCGAGCCCGCCCCTTCCCCGCGCTTCCTGGTTACCTCTGGCACAATGACCCACGTCACTCAGCGCTTCCGCTCCGGCCCGGCTGGTGGAGGGGCGCGGGCCGCTTGGCCACACCGCGCATGCGCCCCTCCGACCCTCGGGCTTCCTCGATTCCCGAGCACCTCGTCCCTGGGGGAGGGGAGTCGTCTCAGCCAATCCTGCGGCATTACGACGCCGAGGCGCTCGACTCCCTCGCCTTCAGCCAATGAGCTAGCCGTTCGCTCCACGTCATAGCCTCTGCCTCGTCTCACCCCCGCCTCCCCGGCCTCGGAGCTCAGTCCGCGCAGTAACAAATGAAGTGCGCGCTGCGACACCTCCCAGCTCCCCCGGCCCCGCCGCCATTTCGTCGCCTGGCCTAACGGTTCGGCCAATCCCGACACGTATCGAAAAGGGCTCGCGCTCCACCAATCGGAGGCCGCTGACTCCGACCTCGCCTCGGGCCGGCCCAATCCAGGCCCCGGTCCCGCCGCCCCCAGCCCGCCCCCGCCGCATCCTCTCTCCTCCCTCTTTGTGCGTCTGGCGCCGCCGCCGCCCGCCGCGTGAGAGGACTGGCTCCCCGCGCTCCTCGGCAGCGTAGTCGGGTCCCCTCCCCCCCGGAAGGTTCGCGAAGGAGAAGCCGCCGCCGAGGACGAGGAACCGCTGGTGCCGGTCCCCTGGGGCGCCATGGCGACCGGAGCGAACGCCACGCCGCTGGGTAAGCTGGGCCTGCCAGGCCTTCCCCCGCTCCCTGGGCCCAAAGGTGGCTTCGAGCGGGGCCTGCCGGCGCTCGGGCCGCCGCCGCCGGGATCGCTGGGGGCCCTGACGGCGGCCTTCTCCTTAGCGGGGCCGCCGCCTCCAACCTCGAACCCGCCCCAGCAGCCGCCCCCGCGCCGCCGCTCTTCCAGCGAGTGTCGCCTCCGCGCCAGGACCAGCAGCCGGGCCCGGCCGGCGGCGGCGGCGGCGGCGAGTCGGGCCGATAGCGCGCGAGAGGCGGCGCGCGGACCGGCCCGGCCGGCGGAGAGGCACGCGACCGCGGTTTCGCGCGGCAAGGACGCGCGCGCGCGCGCACGGGGGGTCCGGGCGGACGCGCCCCGGGGTACGCGCGGCCTGGTTGGAGAGGCTTCGAGTGCGCATGCGCTCCGGCGAGAGGAAGAAGGGCGGGAGGAAGCGTCCTTTGCGCAGACGCACTGGGGCGTTCAGGCTTTGTGGCGCAATTCTGATAGCTTGAAGAGGCCACCTCTTGCTCCCCCGAGCTGGTGTGGACAGGAGCGTGTAAAACGGTCCACGTCACGACGTGGTGTGAGTGGTCCCCTTCATGACTTTAGGAACCTGGAAGACCAGTCCCGTGACAAGACTGTCTTCTTTTCCTTAAGGCCGGTTTGGAAGGCTTCTAGTGATGTTTGGGTTCGATCCCCGCCCCCCCAGGCTGTTTATCTCCTTTTGTTTTCTAGTAGGTTCTCAGAGTGACCAGCTTTCCCTGTGCTGTTTTAAAAGGCTTTTCCCCTGGCCTGTAATCCTGAGAAATAGAAAACCTTGTGTGGTAAATGTAGGGAAGAATTTGATACATCAGAGTTCTGATGACCAGTGTCCACTGGTCAGGAAAATTGAGTGCTGATCTTGCCACGTGTGACGATGGGCTTACTGAAGGACGGGGCATTTCACTTAGTAATATGTGGCAAGAGCTTTGGTGGCTTTGTTCTCTTGGAGCTAGTTTCTACTGCTTTGTGGACATGATTTTCCAACTTTGTTTTCTGCCGTCTAAAGCTTCCAGAATTGATAATGCACATCTCCTTAACACTTCCATTCTGGGTTCCTGTATGTTGTGAATTGGAAGGAAGGATGCAGTGGCCCGTGCCTTTATTTCCAGCACGTGGGAGACAGAAGGCGGGTGGACTGAGGCCAGCATGATCTACGTAGTTCCAGGATAGCCAGGGCTCTGTAAAGAGATCCTGTCTCAAGCAAAACAGAACAAAAACAAAGAATAGTTGTGCTTTGCTAGTAGAGCCCTTTCCTAGCATTTGCAACGACCTGGGTTTTCCAAACACCACAAGAGAAAATTTGTTTCTTGTATTTACACTCTCTAGCAAGTTCTTCCAGGAAAAAACAAACAAACAAACAAAAAAACCGAATGTAAATGTGGAGTGTTCCTTAGCTTTCCTGACAGGACCAGATACCTTTTAATGGCTGCTTATTTTCTTCTCTGATCTCTGAGATTCTTTTCCTTTTAAATTTTAGGTGGATATCTGTTTCAGTCTTAATTATCATGAATTGCCTGTTGGTAGTCACTCTCTTGGTTTATATTTCCACCTGATGGACTCTGTCTGTCTTTAGACTTCCCAAGTAAGAAGAGGAAGAGGAGCCGTTGGAACCAAGACACAATGGAACAGAAGACAGTGATTCCAGGCATGCCCACAGTTATCCCCCCTGGACTGACTCGGGAACAAGAAAGAGCTTATATAGGTAAATACACGTTCTGCATCCAGGTGCATCTTCAGTTTGTTACTGCTTATTCTGAGTGACAACTCTGTTGAAAGTCTGAAATTTTAGTCTTGGGACAAGGAGTCATCAGGTGTGCTCTTATAGCTTTGGTGTAAACTGTGATTTGCTTGGCCAGTCCTGCATTTGTAGCTTGTTTGGGCCTGCTTTCAGCAGCACATAGGCCTTACTAAGCAGCCTACTTCTCAGCTGCTCTTGCTCATTGATGAGGTGCATGCTCTCTGCCTCTGGACAGGCCCCAGTGGAGAACACTGCAGGTATTGTAAACCAGGTGCCTTTTTTGTAGTATGGCCTTTCACCATAATGTCATAGTTCCCTTTCCCTAAAATGTGGTTTTGCTTTTTTTATAGGTTACAAAACAGTTCAAACAAAAAGTGGCTCTGAAAGTATTTACAGTTCACCCATTTTTACCATTTTGTTGAATTTAATCCTTCCCTTCAGCATCTTGTCTTGTTTGGTCTTTAGAGAGCTGTCTTAAAAATGAAGGCTCTTGTAATTAACCACTAAAGGACTCTGCTGGGAAGGGTTTATTACTGTTTGATTTGAAATGAGGTGGTTGCAGGATTTTTAAAAATTAAGTTACTGTCCACAGTTGAATTGAAATTAAACCTCAGAATTACTTAGAAACCAAGGTCATTAATACAAGTTGTATATATCTGTCCAGCTGTCTCAAAAAGTGCACTTGATAAACATTTTCAACTAACCAAATAAACATCCTCTTTGAGCAGAAACCTAGTGGGTCCGTAAAGCTGTGGCCTTCACAGACAGTTTCAAGGCCATGGGGTCTAAACCTGGAGGGTCTTCATTTCCTGGTTTTTAGATTGCTGAGAATTTTGAGGCGTTGGAATTGTCTGCTTCTCACAGTACTACTAATACTACTTTTTCTCACTGTTGCTGTTTACTCTTACCCAACCCTTAGGTGTCATTAGACCAGTGTTGGACCTTCCAACCTTGTAAAATGCCCCTAGTGGTGTCATAGCCCAAGAACGCAGAATCTGAGAAACACTTAATACTTTTCCAGCTCTTTCTCTTCAGGCCTAGTTAATGTACTAAGCCCTTAAAGACTATTTACATCTTTCATCAAAGTAGATGGAAGAGACCATAGTGTAGGTTCTTTGCTTCATGGGGAGATAACAGCTTTTTTTTCTGGTTTATTCAGTTCTGGATATTCAAGTTAGATCCCACAGTTAAGAGACTGCCCTATGATAGTTAACTTTTTCCTGAGCTAATGTCTTGACTGTAAAACTAGAACTTGTTGGAGTAGGGGGAGCTTGGAGAGCAACTGTGTCCCATTGCATACACTTTGTCCCGATGTCCTCAGTATCCTCCCACTATTAAGTTTTCTTTTAATCGGTGTTGTCAGCATGGAGAAGTTGTATAGCCCTGTGAGACATACATGAAAAGTAGAATTCTCAGCCAGGCAGTGATGGTGCACACCTTTAATCCCAGCACACGGGATGCAGGGGCAGGCGGATCTCTGAGGCCAGAGAGTTCCAGGACTGCCAAGGCTACAAAGAGAAACCCTGTCTTGAAAAATGTAATGCATTAATCCTAATTATAAGTAAGCCATGCCCTTCCTACCTGCTCAGAAACTTGGGTAACGATAAAGATATAGGAGAGGTAGTTACGCACCATATTGACGAAGCCACTCTAGTTTGCTGTCCTACTGCTGTGTTACATTTCCCCTGAGTTACTGGAAGCTTTTAGTGAAACCCTCATCTCTTGTCATTTCAAACTTCAGGGCCACATGCATTCTCCTTGACCCTCACTTTTCATCTTTTACACACCTCCCCACATCATTAGCTGGTCTGGAAATAAACTTAGCCAGGTGTATCACATACCTTTTACCCAATCACTGGGGAGGCAGGAGCAGGTGATCTCTGAGTTCGAGGCCAGCCTGGTCTACAGAGCAAGTTCCAGGACAGCCAGGACTACACAGAGAAACCCTGTCTCAAAAAAAGAACAAACAAATAAAAACCAAAAGCAAAAGAAATCAAAGATAAAGGAAAACAAACAAAAAATAAACTTACAGAACCTTGCTTAGACCCACTGGTTTATAAAGACAGGTACATGGTTTGTTCAATATTTGAGTAAAAGCTGCAGGTATTGGGGGCTCTTAGTACAGGTCTGGTTGTACAGAAAGTAGAAAATGTACATATGAATCTGTAAGATGTTGAATTATTTAAGTGTCTTGCCTAAAGAGTTTTAAACCTGGTCTTAATGAAAATGGTCTTTACTCAACTGCTATTTTTGTTGTTGTTGTCCCATGTTAATTGAGTGATTTTGGGCTGTGTATAATATTTACTGAAGAAATAGAAACTTAAGTCTTGCCCTGAGTTTGATGGGAACCAGGTACTACTGGTGATATCTTAAATGGCGTTGGTTCAGGGTGCCAATTGTAAGCAAGTGTTGGTGGGGAAGGGAAGAGGTCAATACCTCCTGATAATTGCAATTGTAAGCCGTAGTGAACAGTCTTAACTGCTAACCCCTCTTCCAACAAACTGTTTGCTTCCTTACGTGATAACCATTTGAAGTGAAAATTAACTGTAGATGTAAATGGACTCCTGCTGCTAGGTGGTTGGGGGTTTTTGCCTCAGTGTGTCACTGATCAGTCATCCCTTTCAAAGTCTCCGAGTTCTTCATGCTTGTTATTGAGATTTGAGATGTTTTTTGGTAACATTGTCTTTTTTTCCATCCTTTTTTTTCTTTCCTAACCTGGTTTCTTCCAGTGCAACTACAGATAGAAGACCTGACTCGTAAACTGCGCACAGGAGACCTGGGCATCCCCCCTAACCCTGAGGACAGGTTGGGAAACAGTTTTAACCAGCTGACAGTAACGCTTTTACCTTTTTCTCAATATGTTTTTACTGGTGGCAACATATTGTGTCAGTTCAATAAAATCATAGTTAAGATGACTGGTCTTCTGACCAGGGTTTGTTTAGAATGTATGTTCAGTCAACAGTTAGAAAAGTTGGAATGGAATTTAATGGGAGAATAAGTTCAAGGAAAATGGATAACTGGTTTCTAATTGGTAAGCATGTAGATTTTAACCTGAAAATTTACCCACCCCTAGGGACAGTGAGGGGTGGCCATTAACCTGCCTTTTCACTGGCTGCTTTGGCTGGAAAGCACAGGGGGCAGTTTTTCTCATGGTATATTATGCAGGGATTTGAGAATATTTTTAACCATCACTGAATTTGAGCAGGCCAAGCTTGTTGAAGTCTTACCTGCTTGTGGTTTTGAGATTGTTTTAAAATTAGGAGATTTCTAACCAACTTCCTTCATTGCCAATTAATTTTCAGCCTTGGCCATTGCCTGCGGGTTTTGGGAGGGAAAGGCAAGCAATAAACCCCTAAATTACTTTTTCTTTTTTAAAGGGAACGTGGGCCTCAAACAGCTGTGGTCATGTCATTTCAGTTAATAGTTTCTCTTGTCTCTGAAAAGTTAAAGTTCATGTGAGAGAGGAACTTTTTAAGTGGAATTTTATTGGCTGATCTTTGAACAGCTAAAGTCTGGTCATTTAATTGACAATAAGCTTCCACTGGAATCTCTCTTAGTGCATGTAGTATAGTTGAAAAGATTGCTTTGAAAGTGTTTCTGGCTTTTACTATCCTGGTAATGGCTTTAGAAGTTACAGTTCTGCTTCCCCTTGCCATGAAACAAATGAACTTAATGATTCCTCCATATTGACCTTCTTTTGCTTTTCAAGTTTATTTTTTTCCCATAGAGATTTTAATTGGAAAGTTGTATTTTACATTTCTTTTTTGATTTGAAGATTTTTATTTTTTAATTTTTTAAGATTTACACTGTAGGTTATAGACCACAACTGTTTAGTGCCTTTTTGGCCTTTTCCCCTTTAATGGTATGTCTACAGGTTACCAGGCAATTCCTCCAAAGGTTGAGTTTTTAACAAACCTTGTTTGCTTCCTGGAGAACTGGGATTAGAGTGCAGTTGATGTCTCTGATGCCTCTTCTAGGTGAAGAAGTCCGGCCAGTCTAACCTCTAGATTGCTAGCTTTTGCTTTTCACTTCCACAGTTTGGGAAGAGGTTAAATGGTTATGAAGTTATAAAGCCTTTAAAAGGCCAATTTGGTTCTGGTACAATTTGGTATTTAGCCAGAAACATTCGATTCTAGATAGCAATGGGGTGGGCATGTTAGAAATGAGTAAAACCAGAGCAGGGTTTTTCCTCCTTGTATATGCTCAATTTTGAAAGAGGCCATAATGCCTGATTGCTTTTGCTTTTAAGCCCAGGTTGGAGGGAAATACATGAGTTTCTTACCTTACTAAGATGATTTCTTAAGAAGGTGTATTTCAAAATTAAGCCACTTTCTGCTATTTTGATGTTGCTTAACTTGCACAATTAAAATGTTTTAAAACCTGTTGTAGACTTAAATGTGTAAGATGACAGTCTAATGAGCTGGGGACGTTTGCTTGTGTTCACTATGATTGGATTGTGCTAACAGTTCATCCAGATGCTAGAAACGGAGGTGTCATTTAGCCGTCATTAGCCACGAACAAACCTGACCTTTTATTCCATCGTGTGTGTAACCTGGTATGACATGGTTCCCTTTAGGCTGAAGACAGTGGGAGCAGCCGAGTTCAGTTCTTGCTCTCCAACTAGGCACAATTCTCTCAACTAAACCAAGGGTGTAGGAGTCGGGACTACTTTTCAGGATGTTTTTTAAAATAACCTGATACACATGGTCTCTTCCCTTCTTGCAGCTGCTACTAAATTTTCATACAGAGTATCAAGCTATGGTCCTTTTTGTAATCTTAACTCAGAATTCTAGGAGTATAACTTCTCTTTTTTTGTTACCGCAAAATCTAGCTGTGGTAAAGTGACCATTTTATCATTATTACTATATATTTTTTATTTTTATTTTTTATTTTTTTGCTTGTAGCGTCAGCATTTTACTTAAAAATGAGAGAGAAATTTCTGCTTTCTGGACTTGTAAACTCTGGCGGAGAATTGTAGTTCCCCCTTGCTGTTGGCAGGTTCAGACCCTAGACAAGTGTTTGACCAAATCTGCATTTGCAGCCTCTTGCAGAAGCTGCGTTAGCACTTTAACGATTTTCTCTACCCAGACTCCCCACCTCGAACAGCCAGCCAGGCCATTGAAGGAAAAGCAGAGACGAAGCCTTGCACCATTTCTCTCCATTGTGGGGGCCAAGTAGCTATAGTAGCATGAGTCCCAGCTGCTTTGGGTGAACGAACTTGTGTTCACTGTGTGGTAGGGGTACAGATGCTCTTCCTAATACACACAGTTCACCTTAACTCGGGTTTCTGTGGTTCATCAAGTTGGGTTATTAGAAATTTTTTCAAATGAAAGAATCATTTGGCAAGAAGCCTCCAAAGGATGATACTGTTCTTGCCACTTGTGGTCCAAGGGTTTCCCTTTAATGGGCCCTTCCTCAGTCACTTTAACAAGTGAAAGAATTTTTCCCTGTCTCACATATACCCACATCGCTTAATGTTCAGTCAGATTCCATCTCCCCATTCCACACGATCTTGAATTGCACACGTTATGGTCGGTTCCTCCGAAGAGTTTTGTTAGGATCTGAGAGGCAGAGGGGCTGGGGAGACTTGTTATAGTCCATATGGGAGCAAAGGGAGTGGGGGCGGAGCAGTAATGGGGGTCTGTCTCCCACAGGTCCCCTTCCCCTGAACCAATCTACAACAGCGAGGGGAAGCGGCTTAATACTCGAGAGTTCCGTACTCGAAAAAAGCTTGAAGAGGAGCGACACACCCTCATCACAGAGATGGTTGCTCTCAACCCGGACTTTAAACCACCTGCGGATTACAAGTAAGCAAAGTCAGGTGGTTTAGGACAAGGGCACATTCAAATCATATGTGATCTGCTGGGACAATTCTGGCTTACTATTTACCTTTTGGCTCAAATTATCCTTAATTCTCAAGTGTTATATCCTTGATTAATTGTAGAAGAGCTTGGGTCCCAGAAATAGAGATGGTGATGGTCTTTTCTTTCTTAGGCCTCCAGCAACACGCGTGAGTGATAAAGTGATGATCCCCCAAGATGAGTATCCAGAAATCAATTTTGTGGGGCTCTTAATTGGGCCCAGGTGAGTAATTACTAGTCTATGGCACCCATTGACATACCTTCAGGGTTTTGGGTTTTTATTGTTTGGGTTTTGGCTGAATTATGCCTTTAATTTGATATCCCCCACCCCCACCCCCACCTTTCCATTTTCTGTAGAGAAGTGATATTCTGAGATGATGTTGCTGACCTTAATGTAGAATTCTCCACAGAGTCCTTGGCTGGGGAGTCTTGGTGCTCTGCATTTTGCAGTTTCCCACCAATGGCTACTCAGCCCAGCATTTTGACTCTGAAACCAGAATTTGCACTGAATGTATGAACACTGTCTTTTCTGCCTTTGATAGAGGGAACACCCTGAAGAACATTGAGAAGGAGTGCAACGCCAAGATCATGATACGGGGCAAAGGATCTGTGAAAGAGGGGAAAGTGGGGCGCAAAGACGGCCAGATGTTGCCAGGGGAGGATGAACCTCTTCATGCCCTAGTCACTGCCAATACCATGGAGAATGTCAAAAAGGCAGTAGAGCAGGTGTGTGGTGAGCCCAGGAGGAGGCTTCTTGTTGGAAACCTAGTGATGGCCCCAGGCACTTTGACAATTAACTCTGCTGTGTCTTCATAGATCAGAAACATCCTGAAGCAGGGTATTGAGACCCCAGAGGACCAGAATGATCTACGGAAGATGCAGCTTCGAGAGTTGGCTCGCTTGAATGGTACTCTACGGGAAGATGACAACAGGTCAGTGATGACATGGAGAAGACCGCATAGAAAGAAACTTGACCATTTAAAGGTGGAAGGTGGTCGGTCTCTACAGGTCTTTGAACTGATTTCTCTACCTCAACAGGATCTTAAGACCTTGGCAGAGCTCAGAGACACGCAGCATTACCAATACTACCGTGTGTACCAAGTGTGGAGGGGCTGGCCATATTGCCTCTGATTGCAAATTTCAGAGGTGAGGCCTGACTGCTGTTGGAGTGGCTCCCTTGCAGCCCACTGGTCTTCAGGATCCTCCTTCCCATACTGGCTTGTGGTTCATCTCGTGTACTAGAGCAGCATCCTTTCTGTGGAAGTGGTTGGGTGGTGAGGGTTCTAGACAGAGGACCAGAAATGGGTGGAGTCTCCTGTTGTCTTCTGCAGACAACTTACACTCTGCGATATTAATTCACGTTCGCTGCGTAAGATTTGTTAAGACTAGGGGGGTTTTATTTCCATACGCCTTTTTTTTTAGGGGGAGATGGGTGTAGTTTCTCTAAGTCTTGCATACCCTTCTCTCACATGGGGAAGGTAGAGGTAGATTTTTTTTGTCTTTTAGATTTCAGTTTTTCTCCCGCATGCATGTCTGTACTGTGTGTGTGCCTAAGTGCCTGTGGAGATTAGAAGAGGGTTGTAAGCTGCCATGTGGGTGTTGGGAATTGAACCCAGGTTCTTTGCAAGAAAAGTAAATGCTCTTAACTGCTCAGCCATCTCTCCATCCCCATAGAGGTAGGATTTGATAAAACGTGAGAGTCAGAGTGTGGTACAGTGGTTGGGCCTCTACTGTGGCTGGCAGTGGTAAACATAGACACAGAATGGAAATTGGAGAACCATTTCCAGTAATGCCTTAGAAAAGGGGGCACACTTGACTGAGTATTTTCTCCTTTCTTTATGTTTCCAACCCTACTTTAGGCCTGGCGACCCTCAGTCAGCTCAGGATAAAGCACGGATGGATAAAGAATATTTGTCCCTTATGGCTGAGCTAGGGGAAGCTCCTGTCCCTGCATCTGTGGGCTCCACCTCTGGACCTGCCACCACACCCCTGGCCAGTGCACCAAGACCTGCTGCTCCTGCCAGCAACCCACCACCACCGGTGAGCCCTGGGACAATTCTCTGGTCTAGCTCCTGTTCTCTTTGTGGAGAGAGACTGAGAGCTATGGCCAAGAGTTTGGGCTAAAGCTTAGAGGTGGATGTAGCTGGCAACATTGTTCTTCTGGGATGTCTGGACTTTGTGGGGGTCTCATTGTGGGAGGATCCTGTCCTTGTGTTCTGATCCTCTGACTATGTCAGAAGAACAATGTTGCCACCAGGGGGAGCAGGCATGGACATTGGCAGGAAATGCTCTCATGTAGTCTCTCATGTCTACAACGCAGAGTCGCCCACCCTGGATGAATTCTGGTCCTTCAGAGAATCGGCCCTACCATGGCATGCATGGAGGTGGCCCTGGTGGGCCTGGAGGTGGCCCCCACAGCTTCCCACACCCATTACCTAGCCTGACAGGTGGGCATGGTGGACATCCCATGCAGCACAACCCAAATGGACCACCACCACCTTGGATGCAGCCGCCACCACCACCAATGAACCAGGGCCCCCATCCACCTGGGCACCATGGCCCTCCTCCAATGGGTAAGTAAGTGTCAGACCAGAAACCTTGGGGTTTGTGGGGGGTGGATAGGCTCATACCAAGTGGCTCTAAGCTTTAAGTAAGTAGTCCTGAATGTCTAGCCAGTGCTCTTGAGTCTTGCCGAGGACTAGGCTTATGGAGTATCTTCTATGTGAGGAGGCCCACCCACTGTTACAGCAGAACTTTTGAGAGGTTAATAACTCAAAAAGCTGTGTGCCTAAGAAAGCTATTGGGGATGTCTCGCCTGGCCAGTTCAATTGTCCTGCTAAGTCCCTGCTCTTTCCTTCCATCAAGATCAGTACCTGGGAAGTACGCCTGTGGGCTCTGGGGTCTATCGCCTGCATCAAGGAAAAGGTAATGCTACTCGACTTAAGATTTCTGTCTAGTGCTGGGAGCCAGTGGGGGCTCTAGCCCAGGTCTCCCATTCTCTAAAGCCTAACACTTGGTTTGCCTGCAGGTATGATGCCGCCGCCGCCTATGGGCATGATGCCGCCGCCTCCGCCACCTCCCAGTGGGCAGCCCCCGCCTCCTCCCTCTGGCCCTCTTCCTCCATGGCAGCAGCAGCAGCAGCAGCCTCCACCACCCCCTCCGCCCAGCAGCAGTATGGCTTCCAGCACCCCCTTGCCATGGCAGCAAAGTGAGTGGAATATTTTGGGCTTGTGGGGGTGGGTGGGATGTGGGCTGGGGCTGAGATGAACAAGCACCTCATATCTCAGATGGGCTGGAGGCACCTTGGTTGAGGAGACTCTAGTCTCAGCAAGGGCAGTGGGGTTGAAAGCCAGACTGCCTGGCTCAAAGGAATGTCTTGGGGAGGAGAGCTGATGTTTGGTGTGGTTGTGTTTGGGAGAGACTTGGGAGGTCTGGAGGGAGCCTGCTGTTGTAGATAGGGCACCAGAAGTCCAGGCTAAGCTGCTGAATGAGCTCCTGGTTTGGCCGTGCCTTCTGCGCGGTGTCAGAGTGGGATGGTGCATGCATGTTCTGGAGGGGTTGTGACTGGGCCTGAGAGACTGCAGAGAAAAGGGAAGGGGTCAGTGGGGAGAGAGCTGCTGTGGGCTTGAGGTTGAATGTGCCGTTCGGTGGTGGCGGCGGCTGGGCGGAGGGACGTCAAAGCCGGTTCTAGTGTCTGGTACTTTCCCCTTAGCCCCTCCAGGGGCATTGGTGACAAAGGGCTTACTTTGTTAAGCCCAGAGACCATGAGGCTGACCCCAGGGTAGTCCTGCCCACCCCTCCACTCCCATCACCAGGACAGCCCCGCCCGCCCGCCCGCCCCCCACCACCGTACCGCATGCCAAGCAAGGAGCAGGCGCCCCTCGACCCCCATCCCAAGGCAGCAGCCGCAGAGAGCCGCGGTGTACCCCCGCGCGTGTGACCTTGGGCTTCTTTACTACCCCAGATACGACGACTACCACCACGAGCGCTGGCACAGGGTCCATCCCGCCATGGCAACAGCAGCAGGCGGCTGCCGCAGCTTCTCCAGGAGCCCCTCAGATGCAAGGCAACCCCACTATGGTGCCCCTGCCCCCCGGGGTCCAGCCGCCTCTGCCGCCCGGGGCCCCTCCCCCTCCGCCGCCTCCGCCACCTGGTTCCGCCGGCATGATGTATGCCCCACCCCCTCCTCCTCCGCCTCCCATGGACCCTTCTAACTTTGTCACCATGATGGGCATGGGGGTGGCGGGCATGCCGCCCTTCGGGATGCCTCCAGCTCCCCCACCGCCTCCACCACAGAACTAGACTTGTTTTTTTAAGAAAATATATATTATATACATAGAGAGTTGGTCTCGTTTAAACACACGCCGAACCTCACCATATGGAGCCAGACATTGGGATGCACGCATGTGATTGTGTGTGCACGCATGTGTGTGTGTGCACGCACTGGGTTGGGCCAAGTGACTGTGGACTCGCTTGGGAATGGGCACGTGGTAGTAAGGGCGCCAGCTTGGGCTCTCCTGGCGCCCTGTAGCATCGAGTGTCTTCTTTGTCTTCTTCTCTCCTCACCCAACTCCCTTTGCCTTTCCCCAAACCGGGCCGCCAGGATCCCTCCCCGCGGCAGCGATGGCCCGAGCCATGAGAGTGAGGACTTTCCGCGCCCATTGGTGACTCTTCCAGGCAGACAGCCTCAGCAGCGCCCCTGGTGGACAGGATGGTTCGGCAAAGCAGCCTGAGTTATTTTTGTGGACGGAATCGGAACACGCTGGCTCCATATTGTGAAATTTTTATTAATTTTTATCTTTTTCCTTTGTTACTTCCTTATCTTTTCCTTTCTTCAGACTCCGTCCAAGGAGATGCTCTCCCCGGTCTTCTGCTGCAGATAGAATTCCTTTTCCTTGTCTCCATTCCTCTTCTTCCCAAGGAGAGAGGAGCAAATGGTTTAGGCACAGACTTTGACCATAAATGTCAGGCTTGGGGTTGTGGGGGCGGGTCCTGTGTGTGGTTTATCTTTGCCACCTTTTAAAGTGTCTTGAGAATTTTGACATTGCTAGATAGGGTTAATCCAGCCCTGGGATTCACATCTTCCTGCACGCCTGCCAGCAGTAAGTGGGACAAGCCAAGCCACTATAGGCCTGCCTGCCAGCCTGGAGTCTTTTCCCATGCTCCTGATCACCTAAGCTGCCTCAGATGCCATTTGCTTCTCTTCTTCCTGGAAAGCTTCCTTTTATGTTTTATTTTGACCCCAGACGTCCAGATGTTTTGCAGTGTCTGGGGCTTGAGCCCCTTGTTCTTCGTTCTGCTTCTTTGCCCCCCCCCCCTCATGGAGTGATTATGTTGACAATAATGTGTAATGCGCGTTCTTTTCACTGGTTTATCTACAGAAATTTCTCTGGGCTTTTTTTCGGTGTTTTGAGTCAACACTGCACTAAAGTGGGGGGGATGTTCCATTGAATAAAAGAGCAGTGTGGTTTTCCGGGTCTGTTTCTTTTCTTCCTAAACCCCGTTTTCCCTACCAAAGTTTCCCTTACCTACCTTGTTTTAACACCTGGCCCCAGCTCCTACCTCCCATGTGTGGGTGGTCTCAGCCTGTACCCTGTTTCTACTTGATGTAATTGAGAACCAAGCTCACTCCACATCTCAGTGGTCTGTCATTTTGAGGCCTTTTCTTGGGGCTCTGACCTCCATTTTTGATGAGTTCCAGTAAAGATTTCTGTGTCCTAGCTGCCACCTGACTTAAGGACCTGGGCCTGGGGAGGCATCAACACTAAAGGTCAGGCCAACTAATCCTGCTTGTCAGGCATAGGGCTGCTAAAATTAAAACCGCCAAGTGACTTTTCTTTCTCTGCTGGTGGCTCTCAGCCTGCCAGCAGTGCAGGCTTAGAGGGAGTGCTGGGGGTGAAATGCGGTGTCCTTGTGCTGAGTGGATACCTCTGCATAGGGTCTTCTGCAGTCTGTTGTATTGGGGTAGTAGATAATACTTAGATGGCACCCGAAAATTCCACCTTCTGCCTCAGTTAGAGTCAGGTTTTTGAGCAGCTCCTGCAGCTGTTGCTGGGCAGAGCTTTCCTGCTGGTCTCAGTCCAGTAGCCTGCCTGGAGTTGTTACAGCACCTCCTTAGAAGTTCCCTAACCAAGCCCCAAACTAAAGGTTTTTCCCTTTGTTGTTAACCTTACAGTGTTGGGGGCAGGGCCTGTCCACCCTCTTTGACCTTGGCCTTACCTCATTGCTTCCCTCACAATCTCGGTTTCCCTGGTGGGCTCATTGGGTGGTTAATTAGCTCTTTGAAGCTCTGGAAGCGGCAAAGTGGCGCTGTGTGGGTTTTAGAAATAAAATCAATAAATGACTTAACCACTGCTCAGCTATCCTCTCGTCTCCCCCCTCCCTCCCAAGGGGGGGTTAATGTGCTCCTGCGGCCACATCACTCCGCTGCCAGCCTTTGTTACAGTTTCGGAGAGTAAGCTTGAAGGCCTAGATGCAGCAAGCACTTGCCCATGCTGGCAGTATTTGGGAGGTGGGAAACACCCACTTGGCCTATGGCATCTTGGGCAGGAAAAGCCCAGTCCTATTGTGTCAGGACTGTGCCTCACTTGATGCCAGTTTCTGATGATGGCAGCAGTAGCCCCACCCCCATTGATGTTGGGCAAGGGACATGCCAGGTAGAAAAGGTCAGCATGAGGTTTCTGTTTATTCCTGAGACTTAAGACAAGTGCTTTGCAGAAACACAACATTGGTCCAAATAGGGAGGCCAGGTTTCTGGTTAGAAACATAGTCCGACGTAAACAACTTCAAGTTAGTCTGGGTTAGATGTATTTTCAGGGTTCTGGGAAGTAAGCTACCCCATGACCCTGAGTAAGGGTGAGACAGAAAGGGTGCAAGAGACAAACAGGTATGTTTGAGCTTGCAGGTCTTCATGCAGGGAATGGGGTCTGTAGAATAGAGGAGGCCTGCCATGGTGACCCCAGAACAACCCTGGAGGAAGTCTCTGGCAAGCATGTGTACGTAGCCTTTAGACTTAGCAGGGGTGTCCGACCTTTTGGCTGTGTAACATGATGTGGTCTGCAAGTGTGTTGGACTGTATTGGGAGCTGTCTTGCTGTGTGCTCTGCCGTGGGTCGGATTAGAAAAGGAGAGGCTAGGGGCTGGGTTGAGAGCAGAGAGGAGCAGTCCTGAGGACCTGTGCTGGAGAACAGCAGGTCAGACAGGCTGTGCTGATGATGGATGAGTAGACTTGGGGGCAATACAAAGGTTTACATGGCCCCAGCATGTTGGCCACAATTGTGTGAGGTGGTCGTATGGATATACCTGTGGCTATTGATGGGTGACCAAGAAAGCTGAGCTCTGGCCGCCGTAGCCCTCCAGGGGACAGTGCAGGCCAACACAGCCCTGGATGGAGGTGCAGAGGCTGGAAATAAATGATGGGGGGGAAAAAAGAAATGGTGCTATGACAGATGCAGCCAAGTATTAGAGCCTGTGTTTGATTCTTAAAACCTACATGAAGATACTAGGTGTAAGGCTGGGTGTGGCGGTGCACCCTTTAATTCCAGCACTTGAAAGCAGAGTCAGGAAGGCCACCTTAGAGTTTTAGGCCAGACAGGGCTACCTCATGAGACCCACCACGTATATATGGGTTGCATAAATTGTCAGTGGTGTCTTAGGGTTTCTCTTGCTATGAAGAGACACCATGACCAAGGCACTTACAAGAAAAACATTTAATTGTGGTGGCTTGCTTAACAGTTCAGAGGTTCAGTCCATTATCATGGTCAGGAGCATGGCAACAGACGTGCTGGAGCTGAGAGTCCTATATCTTGCAGGCAACAGGAAGTGGACTGAGACACTGAGAGGTGTCCTGAGCATAGGCAAAGCCCACCCCCACAGTGACACACTTCCCCCAACAAGACCATACCCAATTTGGCAAAGCCACACCTAATAGTGCCATTCCCACAAGATTATGGGGGCCAGTTACATTTCAAACTACCACAGTGGGGAGAAGTGCCACAAAATTGGGTGAGTGAGCTTGGGTGAGATGAAATCCTCAAGAACTAAACAAATCCAGGTGTGGTAACAGTCTGGGAAGATGGGAGACGGGCAGATTGCTTCAGCTCACTGTCCCGCTGCTCTAGCCTAGGACAGTGAGAGGATGTGTTTGGAAGCGGGTAAATGTTCCTGAGGTGGATGCTGGGAGTTGTTCTCTAGTCTCCACGTGCATCCACACAGCAATGAGCACATATATATATACAATGAAAATAGCTTGCAAGTGGTTTTCTGTTTGTTTCTTTGGCCTAAAATCCTGTGTTCTATCATCCCCATCTCTTCCCTACCCCAAGAAAAATTAAAGTGGACTTTAAGCATGGTGGCACATGCCTCTGATTCTAGCACTTAGGAGGTGGGGGAAAGGACCATCAGAAGTTGAAGGTTAGCCTAGGCTTCATGAGATCCTGTCTCAAACTAAAATTTGATGAACCAAGCCTGGTGTGTGCTTTGACCCCAACACTTGGGAGGCAGAGGCAAATGAATGGATCCCCGAGCTCAAAACTAACCTGGTGTATCTAGTTTCAGGTCAGCCAGAACTTTGTAGTGAAATCTGCCTAAAAATCACCATGATGAACCAGAACCGCCGTTGTGTTGTGACACTTATTACGATGGTTCAGTAGGAAAGAGCACTTGCTATGCAAGCACAAGGACCTGACCAGATTCTAGGAACCTGGACCCCCATAATTTAGTTGTTGGGACAGGAGGATAGATGATCACTATCGTAGTTCCAGGTTCAATGAGACCCTGTCTCAGGAACAAGGTGGAGAGTGATGATACCACAGGACACCACCTCTAGCATGCACACACACACACAAATCAGAGAGGCCCCCAAACAATACAAACAAACCTGCTGTTTGCTCACCAGAACTAAGTGGCAAGACTAGTGTTGATGTACCACATACTCAGAAGACAGACCAAAGGCTGGAAGTGGGTGTGGAGATGAACCCTGTGGTGCTAGAAGGTGCTATGCAGGCCGATGGAGAGATTGTCATCAGTTTTACTCAGCTGTGGGCATGTGCAATAGGGACACGTCTCTTGAAGGTAGTTAACACTTGGGAATTTGAGGCCTCCACAGGAAGAAATTCACATTTGGTACTGTAAGCTGAGTTAAATGCTCATGGTTAGAGAAGTTGCAGGCCCTACTGGGAAGTGCCTGCTGTAAATCTATGAAATGAACTGAATGGTCTCATCAAACTGCCTTTGAATAACTGTGGCTATAGGTTAGTGTTGAGGTCAACTTAAATTCACGGAGATCGGCGTGCCCTTGAGTCCTGGGATTAAAGGTGTGTGCCACCATGCCCAGCTGATGTACTTTAGTATGTGTACATGTATGCCATGTGCAGTTGCCTAGGGATGGCAGAAGAGGGCATTGGATCCTCTGGAGCTGGAGTACAGGTGGTCAGCTGCCTAACAAGGCTTCTGGGACCAAAACTTAAGGCCCCAGGAAGAGCTTCAAGGGCTTTTTTTTTTTTTTTTTGGTTTTTCGAGACAGGGTTTCTCTGTAACAGCTCTAGCTTTCCTGAAACTTGCTTTGTGGATCCACCTGTCTCTGCCTCCCAGTGCTGGGATTAAAGGCGTGCACCACCACACGCGGCTTCAAGTGCTCTTTTAACTGCTGGGCCATCTCTCTAGCCCATAAGCTTCATTTTGCATGGGAGGGAGTGGGCACAGTGGTAACTGCAGATATTCCTAACTGGTCAAAATGCTGAGGACTAGGGCCTTGAATACTCAGTCATAAATGATATGTCCATATTACCTCAAGGCATTAGAGAACACGGCAGAAGAGGGGACAGAAAGAAGAAAGGAGGAGGAGGAGGAGGATAGAGTGGCGTGTTGTGGGGTGCCATTTTCAGGGCATGACCTGGCTGGGGCAGCCCTGAGTTCCCAGCAGCTGTGGTTACCTGCACAAGATTGGTTTTGCCAATGTCCTGCCATGGGAAGGGAAGAGATTGACAAGGTCCTCCTACTCCCTGATGCTCTCTGGGTAGTTGAATGGTTGCTGGGAGAGGGAAGAGGCATTTTTTGCAGTGGCGTGTCCACTAGTAAGAAGCTCACAACTGTCTAACTCCAGGATCCGAACACCCTCGCACAGGCAAAATACCAATAGAAGAAAAAGGTATGGGGAGTGAATATGATCAAAATACATTATATACATGCATGAAAGTAATGAAAACCATTACATATAATTAATGATGCTAATAAACATCTAAAAAAGTGTGTGAAAGACTAAAATGTGGCTGACAAGATGTTTCACTGGGTAGAAGCACAAGCCTGATGACCTGTTTGGTCCCTGGAACCCAAGGTAGAAGGAGAGAATCAACTTGCCAAAATTGTCCTTCGACCTCCACATGTGCACCGTGTGTACCCCACACTCACACAATAGTAAACACAATTTTAAAAAACTAAAAAAGTAGAGGTGGGGGTGTAGCTCCACAGTAGAGCA